TATACGTATATATGTATATGTATATATATATATATATATATATATATATATACACATACACATATATATACATATATATATATATATATATATATATATATATATATATATATATATATATATATATATATATAGCACATAACTAACATAAACTACACAGTTTGTGTGACGATTTATTGCACAGGTAGTGAGTGACATTGAGATTGAATTATGATGGTAAGGTAGATGCATAGGTACTGTATCATACATGATACAGCCACATAGTGCAGCAGCAATAAACAAACATATTAGCTGTCACAGCTAATATTAGTCCTATTAGTTAACACAGATGTGGCTTGGTGAAATGTCATTGCCAGTTGTTCAGTGTTATTTATCGAGAGTTCAGTAATCTGACAGCTTGTGGATAATAGTTGTCCTTTAGTGTTTTGTACGCAATGACATACTCCTGTATTGTCTGCCTGAGAGTAGTAGACAGAAAAGTCCATGTGCTTCGTGGGTGTGGTCCTTAATGATGTTGCGTGCTTTACAAAGACATAGGCTGTGGTAGTTGTCCTGGGGGGTGTGAAGACTACTACTAGTGATTTCCTCTGATGTTTGCTCTACCCTCTGTAGTGTTTTCCGACTCTGACTGGTGCAGTTCATGTACCACCCTGTGACGCAGTCTGTCAGCAGGCTCTCAATGGTGCACATATAAAAGTTAGTGAGGATGCTGGTGTCCGTACCAAATTTCTTTAGTCTTTTAAGAAGTAGAGTTTTTGTGGGGCTTTTTTGACCACAGTGCCTGTGTGTAAAGTCCAGTGTAGATCCTCAGTGATATGAACGCCGAGGAACTTGAAGCTGCTGACCTGCTCCACCTCAACGTTTTTTATGAAGATGGTGGGATGCTGGCCTCCACGCTTTTTCCTGAAGTCCACTATTATCTCCTTTGTTTTGCTGACATTTATAGAGAGGTTATTTTCCTGACACCAGCTGGTCAGTGATTTCACATCATCTCTGTAGGCACTCTCGTCATTATTGGTGATGAGTCCCAAGGTGGTGCTATCATCATCATACTTGAGGATAACGTTAGAGCGGTACAGTCATGTGTAAATAGCGAGCACAGTAGTGGACTGAGGACACAGCCCTGGGGTGTACCGTTGCTGAGGACTAGTGTGGAGGAGAGGTGACTGCTTCACTGGCTGTGGTCTGTTTGAGAGGAAGTCCAGTATCCAGCAGCAGATGGACTTCTCCAGGCCCAGTGTGGTGAGTTTGGAGACCAGCTTGGAGGGGGATTATGTTGTTGAATGCTGAACTGTAGTCAATGAAGAGCATTCTCACATAGGCATTTTCCTTCAGATAGCTGAGGGAGGTGTGAACTTCTAAAGCAATAGCATAATCTGTATACCTGTTTGCTCTGTATGTGAACTGTAGTGGGTCCAGGGTTTCAGGGAGGGAGGCACAGATGTGAGTCTTGATAATTTGTTCGAAACACTTCATGATGACAGATGTGAGTGCTATGGGCTGAAAGTCATTAAGGCAGGATGCTGCAGAGGTCTTTGGGATGGGGACAACAGTGGAAGTCTTGAAGATGGTGGGAACAATACACTGGCTCAGAGACAGGTTAAATATATTGGTAAACACCTTGGTGAGTTGGTCAGCGCACACTCTCAGCACCCGTCCTGGGATGCCATCAGGCCCTGGTGCCTTCAAGGGTTTACTTTCTTGAATGCATGTCTCACTGTAGCAGTGTCTAAACACTTTAAGTGATGAATGATAAATAAAGGCATCTACACAGTTTAATGCTATTTTTCCTTTTTAAGGTAGACATGTTTTCTTTATTTCAGTTTCAAACCATCTGCTTCTTTTATGGTTTTCATATAAAATAAGCTTCATCTTTAAGATGTTGCCATTAACTTAGCCTGTAGAGCTCTCTTGATGACTTGCTTTATCGCTAAATCCACCTTCATATCTGCAACGATGACTCAGTTCCAAATTAAAATCCACCGGGTTTTTTTTTCTACTCTGTATTGCTGCTCATAAATTTTACATGAAATGAGATTTTACATTAAAGCAGAATAGGAATCTTTTGCTTTAAAGGGGAATCTATAGAGAGAAATGCGTTGCAGAATGTGGCCGTTGACCTTCTTATATCCGGATATCCTTGGCAATGTTCACATTTAATCCTTTACACTTGGCTGTTGGGGCTAAAGTGAGGGGAAGGAAAAGATGGAGAGGTGAGATATGTGTGTGCAATCAGAGGGATACAGCCTCAAATAAATGTAATTTATCATGTAGGACCTTTTTGTGTGTGTTTCAACGCTGTGTTGACAACACACCTGCAGATTTACAACTTAATGCTACTAATGATTGGTCTGAAAATACAGTGATTGCTTAAGACGGAGCAAATTGTATTAGATTAGGAATAGACAGAGCCCTAAACTTCAATGTGGATTGTTTAATACTGCCAGCCACTACAGCTGCAATGGCAGATTTATAGTTTAGCAGAGGAATATCTTACCAGCAGAGGCTGTCCTAGATTTAAATCCTGGTCATTGCAAGAGTCAAGAGTGGTGCATCTGTATTACAAATGCAGAATGCAATTAATAGTCACCTGCTGGCATGGTTTTCTCTAAAGCAATAATTGATTAATCCTTGTGGCTTTGTGAACTGTTAAAGAGGTCTCTTCCCTCGTCGTCTATCTATTTGATTTTCCTGCTTGTAGTACAATTGCAAACGCAGGAAAAGTCTTCATTTGTCTGCATATGTTCCTAAATGCAAGTCAGTTTTTGCTAATATTAGCATTTTATACCAGCTGACAACATTAATGCTGTTTAACTGATTGATGGGTGGGCAGAAAGGGAGAGCAATCTGACAGGTACAAGATGAAGATAAGGTGATGTTTTGACTATTAAGTGTGCTGATATCCAATTTTGTGCCAATAGGCGGCTTTAAATGGAAGTTGACACTGCAGCCTAATAAGATGTAAATTAGCTATTACAGGTTAATTTTATCACTGGAAGGTCAGGCTTGGACAGCAGCATGGAATAATAATTTGCCACCATTCAATAGTTGTTAACTTATCTCGTTATCTGGCTTTTTTCTTTCTTTTGCCCTCAGTTCTCTTTGGTCAGTTTGTGTTGTTCCAGACGTCCCTGAATGATGTTGTAGAGATTTATGATGGACCCACCCAACAGAACACTCTTCTGTCCTCTCTTTCTGGTTCTCACTCTGGTAAGGAAGGGGGTTTGGCATTATATATGAATATGGTACACATTCACAGATCAAGCCAGAGTTGTATCTTACAAATTTTGTCTCATCTTTGTAACTTTTTATTTATTCTTGTTTTCAGGTGAGTCTCTCCCTCTGAGTTCGGGAAATCAGATTACAGTCAAGTTTACTACAGTTGGACCAGAAACTGCTAAAGGATTTCATTTTGTCTACCAAGGTAAAACTTAAATTATCCCTATTATTGTCTTTGGTTGGTCAGGGGCTGTTGTGAGATTTTGGGTAAAAATCCCATGGTTTCACTGAAATTCAGTTTAAAACAAAAGTTTATAAATTGATCATGTTAGTGTTATGCCACAAGAAAAAAAAAAAAAAAAAAATCAGTGAGGAGTCTTGAGATGGTTTCCGGAAATCAAACTGAGCTTAAAAAATAGTTGCTAATAGCACACTTTTTTTTTTTGCAAATAAATACGTTGTTAAAAGCACTTAAACATTTTTTTGGATGTTTGGTTTCTTGGCTTATTAACAATGGTTGTACATGTTAAACTAGAGATTGTTAGTGTCACAAGTCTGCCATTGTTATTTTGTTGATCAGAAGCTGAAACATGGAATCCACCATTCTCTTAGCAAAATCCACCACCATCTGTCCTTGCTGGTTTCTTTCCTTGACATCAAATCTACCCATCACTTCCTCATCCCCTCTGTTTCCTTCAGCAACATGTCCATTCAGGTCTGCTCTGATCATCACTCTCTCCTCCCAGGGAATACTCTATCACTTCATCCATATCCTTTTCTTCCCCTTTTCTCATCTAAGCCTAAAAGTATTCTGAAAAGGTTAAGAGGCTAAAGAGAGCAGCAGCAACGTGCACTCCACCCATCTTTCATACGACTCTACGGACATATTCTCGTTGTATCTCAGTACAATGATAATAAAGCTTATTCTGATTCTGATCGTTCCAAAATGTATCTTTCTCCTCCACGTCACATCCAACTTGTGGATCATAAACACTGACAACATTTAACATCATACTTTCTACTTTTGTCTTCAGAAACTTCACCTTGTCTTACACTTTTCACCTTTACTACATTCTTTGCCAACTCCTCCTTCAGGACCATCCCTTCTCCATTTATCTTTCTATCCACGCCATGGTAAAACAGTTAAACCCTGCTCCAATGCTGTTAGCATTGATGCCCTTCCACTTGGTCTCTTGGACACATAAAACATCTACCTTCCTTCTCTGCATCATGTTAGCCAGCTCTCTACCTTTGCCTGTCATTGTCCCCACATTTAGAGTTGCAAACCTCATTCCTATTTTTTTACTTTCCTCTTCTCCCTCGGTTTCCTGACATGTTTCCCTCCTCATGGTTTTCGACTAACAGCGGCACAATTTCCACCGGCACCCTGTTTGTCAACAGTACCTGTAGCGGTCGTTGTTAACTCAGGCCTTGACCGATCCAGTATGGTTTCGCTTTGATGAACTCACATTATAGTTTTGGCAAAAGTGTTTTACATTGGATGCCATTCCTGACACAACCCTCACCATTTACCCAGGCTTGGGACCAGCACAAGAGATACACTGGCTTGTGCTCCCTAGTGGCTGGTTTAAATGTGTAATCCACCAATGTAGCATTATCTGTTTTCTTAGCTGATATACAGCTGACTGACATCTTGCAGAAACAGTTGGAGAAGGGGAAGCACTACTAAGTTTTATGTACAAAAATTCCACCCCATCTCTGCCATTAAATTAAAAACTATTAAAACTTGAGAAAATGAATGGAGTGACAAAAAAATTGTAATTTTGATGCAGTTACTTTTTGACATTGTGAAATACCTTAAAATTGTCAATGCCTATTCTCAACCTTAGTACATCTATGCAAAAGTAATATGCAGGAAGTCTGTACATTAACACTTACGTAGTTAGATGGTATTGATTTACTAAAGTTACAGTTTGAGTTGTGCCACCATTTTTACTAAGTTTTCTGTCTACTGTCTGTGGTTTTTGAAAAAACAAAAGTGTCACATTGAGTCTAAATACTTTGTTTTTTTACACCTCTCATGCAGTGCAATTTTAATCCCTATAATTGTAACACTTATTATTGGTTGTGGAATTTCTCTCTTGGCTCCAGCCGTGCCTCGAACCAGCTCCACTCAGTGCAGTTCAGTCCCAGAGCCACGCTTTGGGAAACGTCTTGGTAACGACTTTGCTGTTGGCTCATTGGTGCAATTTGAGTGCAACCCTGGCTATGTCCTACACGGCTCTTCTGCCATTCGTTGTGAGAGTGTACCAGACAACCTGGCACAATGGAATGACACCCTGCCAACTTGCATGGGTAAGGAATGTCAAGACATAGAACAAAACATAAGTCACAGAATTTGCATTCTTAAAAAAAGAAAAATAAAATAAAATTGTTAAGAACAAGTGCAAACAACTAAAATGCAGCCAGCACAAAACTATGCCTAATTATTGATTTATGCAGTTGGAAAATTGGGTACAATTTCCTTTCCTGCTTTTCTGCTAGTTGTCAAACCACTATTATTATACAGTAAAGCCTACTTTTCTCTTCTTTCTTCTTTTTTGTTACATTTTCATCCTTCTTTCTTGCTTTCAGTCCCTTGTGGAGGTGTACTGACCTCCCGCCGTGGAACCATCCTGTCACCGGGCTATCCAGAGCCATATAACAACAACCAGAACTGTGTGTGGAAGGTCTCTGTTCCAGAAGGGGCTGGAATACAGGTTGTACCTGTCACACGCTGCTTCCCGGCTGACCTATCTATCATTGACTAAAAAGCTGAGCAGGCAGGATCTCAGGGAAAGATAAGACATTATTAGTAGGATGAATGGATGAATGGTTTCTGAGAGGAGGGCCATCAGAGATAACTAGATAGGATCTAATCATGGAAGATAAGGCCTGATTGTGTGTAAGCTAAACTGCTCTCACGGACAAATACAAAGGCAAATATGCCACCTACACAAAGTGCAGTCAGTCGTGAATTTTTAACATACATCTCATAACATTACATAATAACATAGCATGATTTTGTTAGCATGACACTACAGCAAAGAAAGCCAACCTGATTAAAAAAAAAAAACAACATCGTACTTCCACAGAATATTTTTTAGAAGTTCCATTTAACATGTTCAGAGTTATTGTGTATCATGGTTTATTCTGTATTCTGTTGGGTCTAAGAAATGGAATACATATTTTCCATTGCTAAACTTTTCATCAATTAACAGTTAAACCTTTTGTACTGAAATACATTAGTTTTTGAATAACTAGAACAGTTTCTTTTCTTTTTCACACATATTGTTTTTCAGATACAAGTGGTGAGTTTTGCTACTGAGCATAACTGGGACTCATTGGATTTCTATGACGGTGCTGACAACCACGCACCAAGACTGGGAAGCTACTCTGGTAAACAGTTTTATAACTTGCTCTCCAATGATACACACATGCTGATTACTCTTGCAAGCCAACGCCATAGTTACTTTTGGTTCAAAGTTTAGCAGAAGTCTAACAAAGACAAGACCTACCATTTAAGATAGGGGTCTGCAACCTGCGGCTCAGGGGCCACATGTGGCTTTTTGGTCCTTGGTCTGCAGCTCTTTGAAGTTTTGACCAAACATAATGCAAAATGTAAACTCATTGGTTTTTATACCCACAGTAAAGAAAAACGACACGTTTTAGCAGCTTTTTTTTCTGCAAATATTTCAGAGAAATTAGTAAAACAAGTATCTCTTAAAGCTACCAGACATTCTTTGGAATACCTTTAGGACAAGTTGCCTAGAAAAAAATTGATTGATGGATGGATGATGGATGGATGGGTAGATGGGTGGATAGATGAATAAATCTAATTAAAGTTCAAGTAAATAATTAAATTATTTTTAAATTACCATTTTAATAAGTCACAATTACATAGCCAACAAAATGACCCAAAATTTAGACACAGTTTAAATGTATGTTTTATTACTTTAAAGTGGTATATATATAATTAAAACAAGACTCCCATAAACCTGGAGAGTTCAGGGTTAATTATTATTATTATTTTATTTTATTTTTTTTGGGGGGGGGGGGGGGTAAATTGGTATGAAATATATATTGTTTCCCTTGTTTTCATGAATGTGATCTTTTCTTAAGTCCTTAAAGGTAAAATTATTAATAAATGTTGAAATCCGTTATATATGTTTTTGTTTTATAAAATCATCCCCAATGGCTGGAAAAAAAAAAAAAAAAGCCTTCATACAAATTTGAAGTGGCCCATGAGCCATCAGTTGATAATGACCGTTGTAGCAGGTTTTTACAGCTCTAGACTCATTTTGTTTAGCAAGTAAAGAGTAGAAATAGCTCTTTTGATCTAAAAGGTTACAGACCCCTTGTTTAAGAGATACAAAAATGTGGTTGTCTAATCTCAAAACTGTGGTATTACAACTGGGATCTTGGGGTCGTTAGTACTCAAGACCCTTGAATACGTTGACTTGGTTTGCCCAGACTATCAATGAAGGTACTGCTCATGAATAGGACTTATCAGCCACCAAAGGACTCATCCACAATAATATCTCTGAAAGATTATGTTCTGAAGCACCCAAGATAATAGCTTAGAAGCTTTTTGGCAGTGTCTAACCTTGTTATGCTTTTTGATAGTGTCGAACGTTGTTACATGTTAAATCTTCCAGCTGGAGCTGAGTGACAAAGGTTCATATTTATGTGATTCCTTGAAAGACATATTGTATGAGAAATATGTCACACCACTAATTGATCCGCCATAAATCTCCACTAGAAATAGATGGTTAAGCAGCCTATGGGATGATCTCCCATGCAAATTAAGAATTATTTAAATGTTCTCCAAACTCAGTGACATTTAAAGATTTGAGACAACTTTTACATAGGGGAGAATTTGTAGCTCCTAAACCCCCTAAAATTTTAAACTGAAGAGGTTAACGAGATGCCTGTAAAGCACTTTGGAGATCCACAGTGTGTTCAATAAATCATTTAACTTTATTTCAGGTATTTGTTCATAAATGCTACATGTCTGCTTTCTTACTTGACTGAAAATAAAGAATGGTACTTGACAGACTCCCAAAAAGAGAGTCTTGTACATTAATGTGCCAGTAGTGTAGCTTGCATGAATTTCCACGAATCTAGGCTCCGAAAGTGCCTCATCTTTGCTGCTCCAGCAAATCATGTTCACTTCTCAGCTTCCAGGAAGTCATCTGGGTATCTTCTTGTTGTATTTATTAATCTATATGAGGGCTTGGCATCTTTGTAACTAAATGGGAAAGAAATTATGTGATGAGAAATGAAATGACACCACATTGATTCTATTTCCGTATAAAAATATCATTAATAAGTAAATTTTGGCATAGGAATGGCAACAAACTATTGACTTTAAATTTGACTCTTAATTAATACAGCCACACATCCACAAATAACAAGACATTGTTGGATCAATGCAGTTAATTATGAAGCTATAAACGATTAGTAGCTGAAAGATAACGATTAAGAACTCCTTTTTTTCCGTCACAATAATGAATGATGTTTCCTCTGTAATGTAAAACCAAGCTGGAGCTGGTCTCAAGCCTGCTTATTAATTCCCCTCACAGTATTGGGTGACCTAATTCACACATCATTCAGAGGAAAGTCTCAACTTGGATAAGTTCTGATAACACACCTGCCACTAACTTGAAACACTGCGCAAATCAAAGCATGAACTGCTTTTTTCCCCCAAACTTTACAGTGTATGGATATTATGATGCTGCCATTATTGTCACTGTTCATCCGAAAACAAGATTATCCATCAAGTGTAAAGTAAAATTAGGTGTATACCCCTTTAAATTGAGGTAATTTGTGTATTTCAAAGTCATTGTATACGGCCAATTTAGCTTCAGTAATGCAGTACTTTCTTGTTTCTTTGAACTTCCCCTTGCCTTTCTACGTAAGTCAAGACAACGTTTGAAAAGTGATTTCAAATGAAATAGATGCCTCAAATTAAAGTGATTCCCTTCTCCGTCCTTAGAGAATCTTTCACAAAGAGTAAACGTGGGTATAAAAGGCCTTTGTTGTTTCCTTTGCAGCAGATAACTAAGATTATTTGCGTTCAGAATGCTTGATCTTCATCCTTCCTTTCCCTGTCTTTCAATTCTCAGGCACCACCATCCCCCCGCTCCTGAACAGCACATCTAACAACCTATATCTCAGCTTTAGCTCCGATATCAGTGTCTCAGCTGCTGGATTTCACCTGGAATATACAGGTACATGTTTATGAAGCTTTGTCTGAAGAGTGCAAAGTAATAACTAATACTTTTTTCACAATGTTTTTATTATTTTTCTTATTATTCTAGCTATCGGTCTGGAGTCGTGTCCAGAGCCTCAAATCCCAAACTATGGAATCAGACAAGGAGACAGATTCATGGTGGGGGATGTTGTACAGTTTTCATGTGAACAAGGATACTCTCTTCAGGTAAAAATGAGTGTGTCTCTATGTATTTCTCTGTGCTGATTCATATACAGCATGGCAAACAGACGACGTGCACACATGCATTACTTATCAGTTTGAGCTGACTGCCAGACATGGATGCAGAACTTATTTATTGATGCACCTCGATTCTTTTGTTTTGTCTGCACAAAGCAACAACTAACTAAAGTGAATCAAAAGGGAACCCAGCTCTCTGGTGCCTTCTCTTTGCTTGCTAAACACACAAGTCTGGTGTGGTTTACTCAAGTCCTAAATAATGGATGTATCTGCTGCGGTCTGCCCAATTTCTGTGCAGAATGTTGTAGCGTTTTAGTACAACGTTGCCTGTCTCATGCGTAATATACACACAGTTTGAATATAGTCTTTATTTGAATGTACAGTTAAACAGTTTAAAACAGCACTTTGAACAAAGCTTGGCCTGCTGTTGTAACGGTTGTGTCTAACTGTGAATGCTTTTACACGTCTAGGGCAACGCCCACATCACCTGTATGCCTGGACCAGTCAGAAGATGGAACTACCCTGTTCCACTGTGTCTTGGTATGTTTGTCTCTCACACTGTGTTCATGCACACACTGAAACACACGTACCTTGACTTGTTGATGTACTAAGAAATTTGCTTCCGCTCCATAAAAATCACGCGAGCTGTCTCCACTCCTTTCCCTGCCTCTCTGGAAAATATGATGTTTTATCCATTTATTCTTCTCTGAGTAACCGATTACAGTAGTGCCTCGCTACTTCGTGGAATTTCACTTTTGCAGTTTTTCAAAGTAAGATTGGACATGACACACAACTGGCTGATGGATGGATGAGCCACACGAGCGGCATGGATTGTTTATTTAAAAATACGTTGTTTTAAATGATTTAGCACCTGTGTGCAGCCTATAGGTGCAGGGAGAAGCTCCCACCTGCTGTGTCATGATCTCCGCTCTCAGCCACGCCCACATTTCTCCTCCGTGCTGCAGCAGCTTCGTGAAGGGTTAACCCTTTGCTGTCCAGCTGCACCAAATGACTTTTGTCTTCCAACTTAAAATTCAAAGTATGTCACATCGTAAAATCATCATAATCACAAAATATAAAAGTGTTAAATGTTATTCTTAATTGTTTTAGAACTTCTATGCTCAGTAGTTACAGTGTAATTGATCAAGAAGTACATTTCTGCTCCGTGCTGCTGCTGCTGCGTGAAGGGTTAACCCTTTGCTGTCCTGCTGTGCTTCTCTTCTCTACAATTTAAATTTAAATACTGTAATAGTTTAAATAAACAATCCATGCAATGTGGATTGTTTTCTTCTTAAATATTACAGTATTTGCATTTAAAAACATTCTTTAGAATAATGCAAAAGTGTGGGAAGGGTTTATATACATACGCATATATATATATATATATATATGGCCCCTAAACTCTGCAATAAATAAGGGACTACTGTAGTTAGTATTCATCACAGACTATGGTTGGACTTTTATTCTGATGCAAATTTTTGTCCCGGGCACTAAAACTGAAAAGCAATCCAACATATTTAGCATGCACTGACAAGTTTTAAAAAAATTAATAAATAAATCCAGTTAGAGATTTTTGCCTCACAATGCAGTTTTTTTTTTTTAAGCCTATTAATTTTAGTTGCGACATAAAATGTTGAGTGTCTATTAAAAATATTCAAAATGCCAGAGGAAGAACCTTAATGTGTCTGATCAAAAAACATGATTTATTTTAAATTTGATTAGTTCAATCTGTCTCATATTACACTTTTGGTTTATTTTAGTTTAGCCAAACTTAATTTGTCATCATATCAAAGCCCAATTTATTTTATCACTGTATAATAGCTTACTTAGTTTACCATAGCCTAGCTTATATTTACATAGTCCACCTTGTCTTATCTCATCTTAGCTCCTCCTGGTTGGTATCGTATCTTGTTTTACCCCATCATGCAATATTTGTATTACATTTTCTTATCTTTTATTCTTCTACCTATCTGATTTACTCAAAAGGTGATTAGAATTTTTTTCTCATTTTCATTTTGATGTGTTTTGTATGTTTCTCCGTGTTTAACAGCCCAGTGTGGTGGTACTATGGCAGATGTAAGTGGAGTTATTCTAAGTCCAGGTTACCCCGGCAACTATCCCAGTGGATTAGACTGCACATGGACGGTCAACTTACCTGTTGGCTTTGGTAAGATACGTAACAAATAAATAAAAAGTAACAAATATTACTCTTTTCTATTTACTCGGATGATGATTAATATTTGTCTCTCCTTTTCTGTGTGTTAACGAGAAACGTAATGTGCATAATAAGTCAGTGTTTGTGTCTTTAAACCATGTTGTCATTGAGAAAAAATTGCTTCTCTTTTAAAAAAAAAAAAAACATGAAGCTTCATTGCTTTTTTTTTTACTTTCACTTGCTATATTTATGAAAAAAAATCTTCTTACACTTTTTTCAGGTATTCATCTTCAGTTTTTAAACTTCTCCACTGAAGCGATCCATGATTACTTAGAGATCCGAAGTGGAACACTGGAAATGGGCTCGGTGATTGACCGGTTCAGCAGTCCGGTTATCCCTAAACCTCTCTTCAGCACCACCCATCAAACCACCTTCTTTTTCCACAGCGACTACTCACAAAACAAGCCGGGGTTCCACATCACGTACCAAGGTAAATGTTAATTCTGCCATTTTCTCTCCAACACCTTGTTTGCAGTGATCTCTTCCTGAGAAAGGAAAACAAAAGCAGATATCTGACTGTTCTGCTTGTTTAGCCGAAACCAGCCGTGACTTCATTCTTCAGGACCTTTTTCCACAACAAAACCAAGTACCTTGATGAAAAGGTTTTCCGCGATAAAGCCAAAAATATGGGCTGCTTAAAGGTTCCTCATTTGGATACATTTTCAGATTAGTTTAATATTCATGCCATCTGGCACTGAAGTGTTATATTTATTATGACAAATCCTTTAGGCAGCCTAAATTTGTTTGGCCTAATTCTCTTTATGTGAAAATTACACAGGGCTAATGAATAATGCCTTTTATCTGTTGACAGCAGCACTGCCACACTGCTCTAAAACAAGGGAAGCTGTAAATATTAGCACTCGTTTTACTTCGTCTGTCCTTCAAAATGGATGCGATGTTAAGACAAAAGTTGGCACTTGCAGCACTGGCTGTAAAAAGTAAAAAATCAAGGGTGCTGCAATATTTATTAATTAGGTTTAAAACTTCTTTCCTGAACAATCGAGAATTATTTGTCTTTATTCATATAAAAACTTGGTTCTGACAAATCGATCAAATGCTGGAATTGCTGGTGTTTTTTAACTTTCAATAACGTATTTTTAAATGCCAGCTGAATTAAATGCTCGGGCTGCTGTTTAATATAACTTTTTTTTTTACATAATTGTTGTTTTAGCGTATATCTTAGATCTTATAGCGTATTGTTTGACATTCGTTTAGCATAAATCTCAGTGTATATCTTAGATCCTTATATACTGTTTCTTTTTATACTTTATATTTTTTGCTATTGTTGGATTTAACTGTGATTTTGAGTGCACAATTTCATTCCACCTCATGCAATGCATCTGATGTGAATGAGAATAAAGAACATTGAACCTTGAAGTCTTTTATGTAATTGGTTCAGCCTTGTTAGCAGTAAAACTATATAAAGTTGTAATATTTTGGCAGCTTCTAATTTGAGCAACATTAAGGTTGAAAACCATTCCCCCTGCTCCATAGCCTGCTCTGTTTTTGCATGTTCAAACATGTATGTACCATTCATACAATGGTGGGTGTTGTAAATCCTTTCAAATACAGCCACAATTGTAAATATTACAAATGTTTTACTAATATTAAAACCACTAACATGTTTATGTTTGATGTTTTGCCATTTATTACGCTAAGCGTCATCATCAGTTAGTCATCAGTTAACAATTACAAAGGAAAAATAGTTTGTCTGTTAAAACATTTTATTTTGCCGTATTGTCTAGTTTGATGCATATTGCTGTGGTTTATTTGGCATCAATGTCAAATTAAATTTAACCAAAATAAAAATGTTGACCTCCTCAGTATCAAACCGTTTAGTCCTACAACAGCTGTTTTAAATTTTAGCTAGAGGCATACTGATGTATCATATTTGGTATTATTTTCATTCATCCTTAAACACAATTAAAAAATGATATTAAAATTGGATTAGATTAAAACTTATATGTAAAGTTCATTGCAGGCATTCATACAGTTTTGTATTGAACATTTGATGTTTTGTCTGTTTATACACACACACACACACACACACACACACACACACAAAAAAACACGTCAACTGATGGCCTATTGACTTCATGACAAAATATCCCATATTCAGATTAGATTATTAAGTTTTAACTGCAACTCTTTTTAACTTTCAATTAAGAGCAGATTATGGTGAATCCTTAGAAAAAGGGATTTGGCCTTAATGCATTATATGGTCACTTTTAATCTTAACCAATGACATAAACCTTTGCAATCCATCCCTAAATTGTTTGTATTCTTCTGAATTGATTTGGGGTTATTATCTCTCCAGCCTACCAGCTCCAGAGCTGTCCAGACCCTCGGCCTTATCGAAACGGCATCGTGATCGGCACAGACTTCAGTGTTGGGATGACGGTGTCGTTTGAATGTTTGCCTGGCTATTCTCTGATTGGAGAAGCTTCACTGACGTGTTTACATGGCATCAGCAGGAACTGGAACCACCCACTTCCACGATGTGAAGGTAGAAGTCTTCTTCCATCGCCTTTGTACTTTTTAACTGTCTCTTTGCTGCTGCTCCACTCTTTGGTTCTGCAGGTGTTAAATGCTATAGATGATGCTTTATGCGTTATTTTAAAGAGGATTTCGTTGGTTTATTATCTAGACTTCTACTAATTAACATCTTTCCTCTGATCTATCAAGTTAGAATGATGTATTAAATAAATGTATTAATTGCGACGTCATGTTGATGAGCACAGTTCCTGGATGTTTAGGCTTCAGAATGATTAAAAAAAAAATGCAACAAGTATTTTTTTATTAAATATTTTAAAACTATCCATGGTCAGTACAGTACTGATAGATATTTCCTCTCTCAGTCCTTCAGAGTGAATAAAGAGGTAATCCAAATTATCCACCTTAACTCTGTTAATATTCTATCTCCCAGCCTTGTGTGGCGGCAACATCACGTCACTCAATGGAACCATTTACTCTCCGGGACACCCCGAGGAATATCCAAACTTCCAGGACTGTGTGTGGAGTGTTAGAGTTCCACCGGGACATGGGATTTATATCAACTTTACCGTTCTGAGCACTGAGCCCATATATGACTACATTACTGTTTGGTAAGTTCTGTTGATTTCTTCATTTTGTTTTGGTTTTACAGGGTTTTTCTTCGGCGTATAGAGAGACTCTATCCTATTTATACACTTTTAAAATACATTTTTGAACACTTTCTTTTGGTTTAATTGACCCAACATTTAATGTGCACTACTGTTTACTTTTTTTTCTTCAAATCTGCATTCTCTAAAATGAGATCCTAGGTTTCAGTATGAGTTGGTGTGACTAGATTCATGTGTCCTTAAGGTTTTGATTGAATCTTTTGAAAAGAAGGTCTGTGAAAAGGCTATGAATCGTTAACATCTTACATATATTGTGCATATCATACATAGCTCTTTTAGCAGTCACATTTGTAAGATGGTGGCCGAGATGGGGTAGAGGCAGGGCAGCCCGAAAGTCTCAGGTTTAATCCCAGTCATTGCACATCTCGGGGTGTCTCTGAGCAGCACACCTTATCCCTAAATGCTCCCCGGGCACCTTCAATAGCTGCCCACTGCACCACCTGGTGGTGGATGGGTTAAATGCAAAGAGCCAATTTCACCATCGTATGGGAACATACAATGATGATAACATATAGCACATTATTATTATTACTAAAAATTTTGTTTGTAACGGGGATGCAGATCAAATAGTAGTTCATAGCATTGTCCAGTCCAAAGTAGATTGATACCCTCTTAAAACAACTTTCAAAATGTTATTACAGTTCATGCCACAACCATTGTATGGGGTTGCAATAGCTTGGTAGTCAGTGTTGGGTCTCTTAAACCTGACTGCATCAAGATGGCCATCTGGGGTCAAATAATTACCAAATACTGTAGTTTATGCAAGCTCCCTCGTAGTGGCGACACCTTTAGAAGGAAGCAGATGAAAAAGACAATAAAAAATAACAACGCGAAAATGTGGTGTAATCCTTTACACCACATTTAACTTAGCATCAAACAGTTATTTACATGGGCGTCTATGTTTATAAGTAAGCGCATTGGGCTAGCGTTTAGCATTTCTGTTGCAACATGAGGCAACTTCAAGCAGGGTTGTCATGATGTGGGAATGACCACAGTTTAAAGGTAAAAAAATGGTGTTGCTTTAACTGCTAAATACTTTTTTAGATCAGAGTTGTTTTTATTGTTTTGGTCTTACTTAGACAAGCAATTAGTTTACCGATCCAGTCAAAATAAACCATTTCTCCACACGGAGGCTGTTAAGGTAGTGAGCGGTCTACAATAAATTGGATAATAGTTTATAATCATTCAACAGTTCTCTACTTTCAAAGATCTACACTGTCCCTTTAAAAATTGGTATTTGACATCATTCTTTTTCTCATTATTTACTTTTTCAAACCTTTTTTATTTTTAACATTGTACCTCACATTATATTTAAACCTGATTCACTCCTGTGTGTAACCGCCCTGCCCAATTTTTCACTTCTCTCTTCATTCTTCTTCTTGAGAGGCACAATTATTGGCAACGGCAGACGTTTTGCCAATGCAGGTGCTTAAATGGTTTTCAGATACCACGTTGCCTGTTGCAGATACAAGGTGGCAGCTGAACCGTAAATAGACTGTTAAGCCTATTTCTGTGGGCGCCATGTCGCTGCCCCTTCTTTTTGTGTTCTTCTCCACTGAATTCAATGTCCCTTGACATAAACGCAACTGTGTTAGGGTGGTGTAAAGCACAGAGAACTCAAGCACAACACAGGAAAACAAAGTGTAATTTCAAAGTATTAAACATCTTATTTTACAACATTTTGTAGAGGAGCTGTAACACATAATTAAGCTCAAGCTTAAATTTCCAACATTTCCCACATTGTCTTATATCTTTGGATCCATTTTTAGGTTGGATCAACAATCTGAGCCATTGCTTTGTTTCATTTCAGTTAGTCTTTATTTTTAGATGCTTGCTTCAATGATCAGTTACTTTTATTACTTGCGGTCTTCAAAGTTTGCTGCTTTTCACCCACAGAATATGCTTGGAACCTACAAACTTTGCTAATGAGCCAATTAATAAGAGCATAATGACGACGCAATCAGAATTTACAACCAAGATGCTATTTCAATCCATCCTTGACAACTGTTTTTATTGATCATAACAATTATGGCAAAGTATGCCAATATCAAACCAACATTTAATTTAAATTTATGAACCATGTGACAACTCCAACTTTGAACAAACACCATCCCCCAGTTTTAAAGTATGGATTATTGAACTTCATTTATTTATTTTTACAAAAGACACATCTAGAGAATTATGAAAAGCTTCATCAGCTATCACAACAAAAGCATTCTAATTGTGTGTATCTGTGTCTGCATGTGTTGACTTGTCTGACTGTTAGCAAAATATCTCATAAACCACTTGACATTTTTTTATGAAACTTTCAAAAAACATGTTTATGTAGAATAGAATAGAATAGAATAGCATAGAATAGCATAGAACAGAATAGAATAGACCTTTATGGTCATTGCACCTGAGCACAACAAAATTTGGGTTTGCTTCCCAGAGCAAAATTAAAAACAGTGTGATGTATATATATATATATATATATATATATATATATATATATATATATATAAAACTGTATAAAAGGTAATAGTTACAGATGTCAAACATTCCAAATGTGCAACATAATAGTTCTAGATGTTCTTCAGCATGTTCTAGAATTGTGCCCCTCCAGGTGGCTGCATGTTGGAGCAGCTCTGTTACTTTCATTCAGTGATTTTGCTTTTGGAAACTTGAATTCATTTTTTTCTGGATGTAAATCACAGTTTTTTGATGATTGTTTCCTCTGGTATCAGATGCTGTGCAGCTGGAACAGCTTTCATTGTTGAAATCAGATGTCTCTTGTAAATGAGTCCTCGAGGCTAAATGGGATTACATGTCTAAATAAAGGTTGAATGAATGGAAGGATTTTTACTGAAACTTTAGTTTTGGACATTTGTTATGATGCGTAACCATGGCAACAAGGCAGTTTTCTACAACCAACAGCAGCTGATTAACATCTCAAATGCTCAAATAATATCTCAACTACAGCCTCAAATCTCAAAAGAGTTGAAAAGGATGTTCTGTGGACGCATTCTCATCTACCTGCCAGCTGTGCTCGAGTGCCTGACCACTGAGATCCTGGAACTAGCAGGAAACACGGCTCATGACAGCGGAAGAACAGGATCGTCCCTCTGCACCTACAGTTGGCTGTTCACAGGGACGAAGAGGTCGGCAGACTGCTGGGAGGAGTGGCCATCGCTCTGAGAGGAGTTCTGCCCTACATTCAGGCGGTCCTACAGCCCGAGGGAACTGATAGGCCAGCCGAGTCTGGGTGGACGGATCGGACGGCATCTGCAGCCAGTTTCTTAGGATCCACTGTGGGATGGACCTTTACAAGAGATCCTTCCTGTCTACAACCATCAGTATCTATAACATCTCTTAATGAAATGAGGATAACGAGTTACAACAACAAATAATTTCCCTTTGGGATTAATAAAGTATTTTTGAATTTGAATTGAATTGAATTGCATAAGCAAATTGATATAACACTAGTTGTCCCTCATTGAACTTATTCAGTTCTTATTACAGTTTTTGTTAAGTTCAGTAACATTGATGGATAAACAGTATTTTTTAAATCTGTTTGTTCTTGTCTTCACTGATCTGTACCTTTTCCCTGATAGTAACAGTTCAAACAGATCACGTACCAGGGAGACATGTCCTTTAATATGCTGTGGGCTTTTCCCATGAGCAGGAACTGTGTAGATCTTCCAGTGAGAGAAGAGGCAGCCCACGATCTTCTGGGCTGTGTTGATATAACTCTCTGGAGAGCTTTCGTCTGAGCCACTGTGCAGCTAAGATACCACACAGTAATGCTGTACTGTATGTTAAGTTGCTCTCATATGGAGCATCGGTAGAAAGACACCAGCAGTCTCTGGGTGATGTTCCTCCTGAGCTCTCTCGGGAAGTTCTCTCTGTTGGGCCTTTTTTAGCAACTCTGAGGTGTTCACACTCCAGGTCAGATTCCCTACAATATGGACTCCCAGGTAACAGTAGTTAGCTGCTCTCTCCACACAATTTCCACTTATAATCAGTGATGGGACTGCCAATTTCTTTTTCTTGAAGTCGATGATCAACTCCTTAGTGCATCTTAAACTGATTAACTTTGGCGTCAAACAGGTTCAAAATGGCTATCACAGATAATTGACATTTGCAAACACAAAAATGATTATAGCTTCATCAGTTTTACAGATATTGAGCGAAAATATGGTTTGATAGTAGATGGTTCATCCCCATCACATAATCTGAGCACTAACAAATCATGATCATTGCCTAAAACAGTGCCATGCAAGGTAAACAGTAAAATACATATCGTCAAGGATTGCTACTTTTTAGTTAAACATTTGCACTAGTGTAAGCTTCTATGATGCAATTTTATACATTAATGTGTTTAATCTCAGTTTGAATTTTAGTTTAGTATCTTACAAAACCACATATCTTGGCTGAGGCACCTTGTTTTCCTCAGTAATGGGGTTGTGATTTGTTTTCTGCATGGATGTCATTAGTGCATACAATAGGTGTAGTTCCAGACTATTATCGCCTTTCTTCTTTTCCTACATCAAACACACCAATGGCTGCTGAACCGTGCGCCTCCCACCTACACATGACCGTGTGAATTCCGTGAATTGTCCGCCCAGCATGTTTCTGACCCAGCTGTTTGTTGGGAAAAAGCAGGCAAATGACTGAACTCTCACAAAAGAAAAGACAACAGCCGCTCGAGCACACTGTAAAAACTCTCATCCTGGCTGGCACACAGTTCTAATGTTGGCTTCCAGTGGAGAGCACAGTGTCAGTGGTAAAGGTGTGATTTTCACAGCGGTCTTCTCAGTCCAGATTCAGCCGACCTGACAGTCACTGAGTCTACTAATTGGTCTCAAACTGGGAAACTTACTACAGGATTTCATAGCAAGACTTGTCAGATACATCAGATGGTAGCGTGTGCTGTGCAACCTCTCACCGTATATGTTACCACTGTGTACTGATAACTGTTTGTGACGGAAAACATTGCAAGAGAGAAGCAATAGGAGAAGCTACTCCTTGACCCCGCACCCTGTATGAATCAGAGAAAAGCAATATGCCTCATACAAGCCGACAGCTACAATTGGCCTTGTCAAAAAATAAAACGAGAGCTCAAAAATAAAACAATTATTTGAACTTGGTGATCTATTTTAATCGCAGGTAGCCTGACGTCGTTTCCTTTAGTTTGACAGCAGGTAGCGTTCTTTTTAAAGGCGGAAAATGCGAACAGCATCATGCCTCGAGGCTGAGCTGCTAGTTAAAAGCAATTTTTTTTTTTTCAGGAAAGCTAAGCCGCGTAAACCCGTGTTTAAACAAGGAGGCTGTTCAGGTTTGTGGATACAAATTTGCTGCAAAACCATTTTAGGTGATTTGCCAGTTGCCAGGGCAGCTCTGTCCACACTTGATGATAAATTGTGTTCAAATGGGTTGAACTACATGCTATTATTTTGACATGATCGTGGTTCAGAGCTATTTGAGTTGCATTTTTGTAGCTATCTCTTGCAAGATAAATTTATCCACATGACTTCACAGAGCTCAGTGAAGATTTTTATTTTTATTTTTAATCCACAACACTCTGACAGCTGTGCAGTTTTCCACACAGCTTTATTGTGAATTTAACAACATAACTGCTTAGACTGCTGCCCTCTGACTGATACAGTACATTATAGCACACTGTGACCACAGGGAGTCCAAAAAACAACTGGAACAAACGTTAAACCAAAGAAAAACTCTCACATAATATCCTGATTTATTCAGTAATCTACGTAGAAAAATCCAACAAAGTTAAATCAGGTTCTCTGGATGGTTTATTTTTGTTGAAGCGTTTCATGTATGTTGCATTTTATGAATATGGACATTAAAATTAAAATGTATTGGAGATTTTGGAAAGACAAGATCCATGAAACTGTTATCATGACAATGGAAGTCTACCCACAGTTTTGCAAGTTTTAGGCTGTTGGAAAATGTTCACTGCTGATGTTTCGAGCAGGTTTACAAAACCTATTGACGCCAATACATTGGAATTCAATGCAGTATTGATGGAATCTGTTTAACTTAACTTTTCTTTCTTTTTGTTTTATTACCTGTGAATATGGCTATGCGTGTCCTCTGGCTTTCTTCAGTAGTTCTGCAGCACCCTCTGCACCTCTACTTCTCAAACCTGTCCTTGTTGTTGTTGTATCTACAGTTTAGTCTGTAGCTTTGAACCTGTACATACCACAAATAAAACCACAGATTTGTGAACCTTATTTTATGACAATACATTATTTTGCTGGTGAATTATAAATACTTTGCTCCTCGGTTTGTGAGCTTTGAGACACCAGAGTTTAGAATTGTATTTATTTATTCTTTATGTATCTGTGAGGAGGAAGTTGGACTAACAACCAGTTGGTTTGATGTTGGACTAACAGCACGTTGTCACAAAATGTCCAACAGTATTTGCACTCAATGGAGTGGCTCCACTTATGTATAATAGATAATAGCCGAGTCCCATTTATCTTTCATTATTACCTCCAGAAACCCATTTCCTGATCACAGATAAACCTCCAACTGTCAGAGATGTTTTCAGTAATATTTAATTTGTGTTTTATGTTGGTTTTTTTTTTTATCCCATTGTTCTATACCAACAGATTTGGCCCTTTGGTTATGTCTTTTTCATGTCTTACATTTTTTCTTACTTAGCATGTGTTTTGTTCTCTCCTTTTGTTTGATCACAGGGACGGTCCAGATCAGTCATCCCCCCAGATCGGTCAGTTTAGTGGGAACACGGCTTTGGAATCTGTTTATTCAACATCCAACATCATCCTCATTAAATTCCACTCGGACTTCTCTGGATCCGGCTTTTTTGTCCTGAGTTATCACGGTAAGACAGTGACCTTCCAGCATATTCACAGTTCCAGAGGTATTATGGGTGTACCGCACTGAGGAAGTGGAACATGACATTTGATTTTTGCCTGCTCACTCGTAGGTGCCGCTCTCATTAACAGCTTTTTCTGCAGTTATTTTTCTTGTCCTGAAGAATAGTAATGAAAGTATAACGCCATCATTAGTTGTGGCTGCAATCATGAGATTGATTAGTTTTTCATTGAGCTGATCTGTGTTTAACTCCATTCTCATTAGGTTCTTCTAAGACCGGCTGCCTTTGAATAATTAGGCATGAAAGTTGATTCAGCTCAGAACCATTTTGCTACTTAATCAAAGTCCATTTCACAGCCCATCCAAACAACAGTATATTTGATGGAGGATTCTTTATTAGCTCTACATATGAGAATTTTACACCCGGAGCAGGACTTCTTTATGAATTAGCTTGAAACTATTTCAATCTAAATCGTGAAAGATGCATTTGTTTTGTCAGATAAATAATGGTAACTCACTGTAGCAATCAATTGAACTATTAAGACTTTTATTTGACTTTATTCTCGTAATACTACAAATTTATTCTCGTAATTTTATAGCTTTTTTTTTTTCTTAGCGTGGCAATGTAATTTTAATTTTTAATTTTTTTTTTTTTTAGCGTGACCCTAAAGTACGAAGAGCTTTAGGGCCATGCACAAAAAAAAAAAAGACATTGCCATGCTAAGAAAAAATATTAAAAGCCATAAAATTACGAGAATAAAGTCGTAGAATTACGAGAATAAAGTCGTATGAGACTTTCGTTTTTTTACAGCTCTCGTTAATTTTTTTTTTTCCACGAGTCAGATCCATGACTTGACCTGTCAATCAATCCAGTAGGCGTGTCAGCAAATGACCAATCTGAAGCTAAATGCTCCTTATCTGCAGAGAGCTGGAACATACCACCTTACTGTAATGTAAGCAGGTTCAAAGTCCTGATATTGACAATAATTTGATGCTGATGTGCTACCAGATTACACAACGCTGTTTTCAAACGGAAACATAAATGACAGTCATGACGTCATGACGTCGTATGCATCCCAGAAGCAGCATACAAAAACACACTAGCAGGGGGCAGTACTGGAACATCTTTTGAGTAAGGGCATCAATAACAATAAAGTTGAACAAATATTCTTCATTTTACCACAGTTAAAATGCGGTAAATCCTGCTTTATCATGTCGGAGTTCGGATAATATTATGACTCATTTTGCTTTGGATTTGTCATTTGCTGACACGCATACTGGATTGATTGACAGGTCGCGTTGTGGAACCGACTCATGGGAAAAATTAAAATTAAAGACAGCTGTAAAAAAAAAAGAAAAGTCTGGTACGACTTTATTCTCGTAATATTAAGACTTTATTCGACTTTATTCTCGTAATACTACATCTTTATTCTCGTAATTGTATGACTTTTTTTTTTCTTTGCGTGGCAGTGTAACTTTTATTTTCATTTTTTTAGCATGACCGTAAAGTACGATGGAGCTTTAGGGCCACGCAAAATAAATAAAATAATAAATACACTAACACGCTAAGAAAAAGAAAAAAAAAGCCATAAAATTATGAGAATAAAGTCGTACGAGATTTTTTTTTACAGCTCTCGTTAATTTTTTTCCACGAGTCAGATCCATGACGCAACCTGTCAATCAATCCAGTAGGCGTGTCAGCAAATGACCAATCTGCAGCTAAATGCTCCTTACCTGCAGAGAGCTGGAACGTACCACCTTAGTGTAAGCAGGTTCAAAGTCGTGATATTGATAATAATTTGATGCTGATGTGCTAACAGATTACACAACGCTGTTTTCGGAATCAAAAACAAAAGTCATGACATCACGTATATGCATCCCAGAAGCAGCATACAAAAACAGCAGGTGGCAGTACTGGAACACGTTTTGAGCATCAATATAAATAAAGTTTAACAAACAAATCTTCATTTTACCACAGTTAAAATGCAGTAAACCCTGCTTTATCGTGTCGGACTTCGTATAATATTATCATTCATTTAGTTTTGGATTGGTCATTTGCTGACACGCCTACTGGATTGATTGACAGGTCAAGTCATGGATCAGACCCGTGGGGGAAAAAAAGTCCGTAGGACTTTATTCTCGTAATATTGACTTTATTCGACTTTATTATCGTAATGCTACAACTTTCTTTTTATTTTTATTTTTTTCTTAGTGTGGCAATGTCATTTCTAGTAAGTATTTCATTGAGCTGCAGTGAAGACTTCGAGAAGAAAAGATTGTGTCAAAATGCAAGATGTTTCCACAATTCTTCCTCCGAGTCCTTCGGTGACCTGACTGAAACCCAGAATGTCATGGTTTGCATCAGAGGCGGCTGCCAAAAGTGCAAATTTAAATCGAAATGCCAACGAACCCCCCCCCCCCCCCCCACCCCAAAAGAAGCATCAATACACTGTTGGGGATATTTATTGTTGTCGTCGTCCTTTTGTTTATTTGTCTTTGGGTCAGGATTCTGAATGCCAGTAAAGACACGTGCGCCGTGCAGCCGTGTATGAGCGTGTCATGGATGTGAGACTGAGGGAGCAGATGTGATGTGAATGTGAAGATGGCGAAAAGGAAGAAAAAAAAATAGTCTTGGAGCTTAGTGAGATCAATGACTGCTTACAGTGATCCTCTCATGCACAGAGGCTCACAAACATTCACACATTCTGATGTACTGACACACACACACACACACCACGAGGCTTTGATATGCATGAGAGCAGCAGATACTATTGGCAGGTCTCATTTTCATAGTCAATTTCATCCTGACTTATAGCCCTCAGCCCACTCTTCCCCTCTCTCCCCGTCGGTCCGTCCGTCTTTCTGTCTATATTTCCATCCTCTCCCTGTGTTAGCGAGTGATCTATGCTCATGCAGTAATATTGATTACAGCCTTCAGCTCAGTAGCTGTGAAGTTCGTTGCTTTTTATGAGTCGGGCTAGTGGTGTATCCATGAAGCTACACTTTTTTTTAATTTTTTTTAGGCTATGCTTCACTGACCTAATCTGAACTTGAGCAAAAACTCAAGTTAAACTGATACAACTGCGATTAGAAATCAAAACAGTCTGTCGTTTTCTCTCTCTCTCTCTCTGAGGTTTCTCTTCGTGCAGATGTCTGAGCTGGCGTTGTGTTTCCATTAGACTGGCTAACTTTAATGATACTTTTTTCGAACACGTCCTCGCTTTACGATTGCACACTCGTATTTTTCACACTTTTGTATATAATATGTGTCTCTTTGTCCTCTCTCCTCTCCGGTGCTATGTCTGTGCTCCAAGCCTACCAATTAAGGGTTTGCCAGCCTCCTCCAGAGGTGCCCAATGCTGACATACTGATGGAGGACGGCGAGCTGGAGATAGGTGAGCTGTCTGTCTACCTGTCAGGCTCCTGATGGGTCAATCTGACATACAAACTGGAAACTTGTGACTTTCTGGTTTGCCAGTTGGATAACAAAAATCCTCAAGAATGATCTTTTGAATGATTCAGATCTTTTAAAGTGAAGTTATGAAGATTTATTATCTTACGTGTTGCAAATATATTTTTTTAAAGAACCTGAGTTTGGAGAAAAGAAGTTTTGTTCTGATTGGCTTGACGATCTAACAGCTTGTTTTAGGGAAGCCAAGACCAAAATGGATTATTGCCATATTAAAATAACTTTAATGGGTTTATCTTTCAGGGATTTTTATATACAGTTCTGTTATTTGCAGTTGTGAAATCAGCAACAGCTAGCTGTAGCACTTCCAGAATATTACATTGTTTCTGCAGAAATAACCGTGCTGTGTGAAACTCACAGCAACATGGTTTATGAAACGGTGCTTACACGAAGCATCAGAAAAGTTTTGAATTCGGGGTTATTTTTAATGGCAGCAATCCAATTTGATCATAGCCTCACCCAGACTAACAGTTAATTTAATGATCTACTCAAACTTTAACTCTAATTATACATTTCTCATAACTTTAACATCCAAAAGTATTAACATGTTGTATTTGATAGATAACACCATTTAGTTACCAGTTAACCTGAGAAGCATGGTTTTAGTCTGTGGGGGGGGAATTATAGAGTTCCTAGTTCCTAGAATTAATTTAATTGATTTATTTTTGTATGCCAGTGTTTTACTGTACATTTTTGGTAGTGCTAACCAGTTGCATTTGCTGTGACTTTCAGAATTGTTTGAAGCTGTAAGGTTAATCTGTCTGCAGAACGGTTCATTTCAATATGGCATTCACCTGAGAACCTTGGTGTGCATCACATTTTCAAAATGTTCCAGAGTTGCTCAAAAAAATTATAAATTATTGTCAGTTTCATAAATTGTTCTCTATGTATATTGAAAATGGCTTTTCACATGTGTTAAATTACCTTTTCCTATTTTTACTTCTAAAATATGCAATGTTTATAAAGATTATCTAAATGTTCTAAAACTAGAGAGTAAATGCAAAAATTATTAGGACTTTTTTTGGTTTTGATGAAATGTCGATTATTAATTGATAGCAAATCAATTTTCTTCTAGCATTTTGACTTTTTAAATTATGATGAATGTCTAGTGCTGAAAATACAACTCAGATTTAATGTATCAATTTTCATAGTTTAATAAAACTTTACAGAAAAGGTAGAAAAAATTAAATGGGAAAAGTACAATCATTACTGCCACAGCTGATATACATTTTTTTATCGCTCAATTAGTCTTTTGAATTTTACTGATTGATTGTATGTACCTTTATACTTGCTGAATGGTTAAATATCATAACTAATTTATATTTTTTTAATATACAGTATATAAAATATAATATATATATATATATATATATATAATTGTGATTTTTTTATAGAGTAGATAAAAAGCCAACCATTCCTAAACAACTGTAGCTGAGTAAAATAAATGTTTCTCTTGAAATTATGTTAATATTGAATATGAATTACCTCAAACCTGTAGAACAAAGTTTACATTCTGCGCTGTAGTCTCAGTTTTATCAACCACTTTGATTTTTGAAATCATTTCTTTGTTGTGATTTTGTGCCAAAAGGTGACATCATCAGATACAAATGCCATCCTGGATTCTCATTGGTTGGCAGTGAGATTCTAACCTGTCGCTTAGGAGAGCGACTACAGATGGATTCTCCACCTCCAATGTGCCAAGGTGCTAATTACGATTTCCAGGAATCGATTTTGACAGCTTTGAAAGTAAAAGTGTGCGCTCACCTAGCTTCACCCTCACTTCTTTTCTTGCCCTCGCAGTTCAGTGTCCCGCCCACGACGTGCGATACGACTCATCGGGCGTCATCCTGAGCCCAGGCTGGCCAGAAAGTTACCCGAACCTCCAAATGTGCTCATGGAGCGTTAACGTGGAGAAGGGCTACAATGTCACCATAACCTTTGAGAGCTTCCACACGGAGAGAGAATTTGACGTGCTGGAGATTTTCGATGGTAACACAAACGCTCAGTGCACAAACCAGTAAACATTTTAATCGAAAGGCAGAAATGAAATGCAGAACTGGTCACAGTAATTTTAAAGTAAATTTTAGGTTCATAAAGCAGTATATTTCTACAGTCTTATTTATTCTTTGGTACTGTGCTTGTTTTTCTCCCACCTCCTTGTCTTTGTCTGTCTCAGGCTCCACACCCAACAGCCCAACTCTGGCGACGCTGAGCGGTGACCTGCCAACACCGTTTAACATCACAACCTCTGGACACCAGTTTCTAGTCCGCTGGTCCTCGGACCATGGCACCAACAAGAAAGGCTTCAAAGTCCGCTATGTTGGTGAGTACCAAAGTATGTATCCCAACTTTACTTCTATTTCATAATACAATGCATGAAACAAAGGACGGAGACCGACAGAAGGACTGGAAATGCACGTTTTAACTTCTAAACTGTTTGAAACCATCAAATATAATGTTCACAGCAACTATTTAAATGTAAGAAAATTGAGTGTGTTTCTAGTTGGGTTTGTTGTCAAATTTAGAGTAACACTGTATTTGTTCACCCTAACTTCCTGCTCGACTTCTGTCAGTCTCCCTGAAACAGCTCACTGAATGCATTATACTATAGTTTAGTCGTTAATAAGATGGTTCAGATCTTTTGAAGTGAGGTTTTGTGGAAAGCTTATGAACAATTACTATCTAACTTGTTGCAGATGGCTTTTTAAACAATCTAAATTTTGGATTAATGGTTGAATTTTGACCAGGTTGAACAGCTAACACCAAGTCCGAAAGCAAAATTCATTCATTCAACCTTTATTTATACAGGTTAATCCCACTGAGCCTCGGGGGACTTGTTTACAAGAGAGACCTGATGCAGTGATGCTAGTAAAAAAAATGAAAACAAAAAATAGAAAGCCTCCTGCCACAAAAACAATTCTGAATGGTTCAAGCAAAAAAAATAAAAAAAATAATATCTACACCATCTTACGTTTTGCATTATGCAGATTTTTTGGCAGCAGTGTCATGAACGTTGGAGTGCACCAGAGTTACTGCTAGCTGCTAGCTAGAACTTTACACTTACAAACAAACAAACAAAAAATTAATTACTTATAATTAAAAAATATTGTAAAAAAACAATGTATTACAATATTAACAACTTTACCCTAAAAGTGAAAAAAAAAAAAAGTGTCACGTGAATATTCATGAACATGTTTAAAATGTTTCAGAAATCATCCTGGAAACATAAATTACAAATAATTTTCCACATGTGAAGTTTGAATGACTGTGTCTTAAATTCACTCATAAAACACATTTTACACATGTTTAATTTAACATGTTTCACGTGTGATTTCCACTTGTGAATTTGATGTTTCATTTTATGTAAGCTAAAGTTTATAAAATAGTGGTCACATAAATCGCTATGAAAATTTATAAAATGGAGTTGTTTCAAGATGGCAGCAATCCATTTCTGCCTTGGTCTCATTCTGACCTCATCAATTCAATTCACTTTATTTAAATAGTGCCAAATCACATCAGACTATCATCTCAGGGCACTGAACAGAAACATTCACATACATACAAAAGCCAATTGGTAAAAGTTCTCTATCTAAGGAAGAAAGCCAACAGACTCATTGAATTTTCACTTTGTCGCAGTCTCCCATTCTGAGCAAGCACAAAGGCAACAGTGGAAAGGAAAAACTTCCTTTAAACGGGAAGAAACTTCCAGCAGAACCAGGCTCAGGACGGGTGGCCATCCGCTTCGACCCGCCAGGTTTGAGAGGACAGGAAGGAGAAACAAACGAACACAGAATGGCAGGTCCAGATGTAGGAGCAGGTGTACACACTGTTGGAAATAAGACAAAAAACACCACAAGTCAAGGATAGAAATAATTACAAATACAAAACAGGTAGCGTAAGTAAAGAAAGCAGCAGAGTGAGGAAATGTGGTCAGTTTGTCCTCCAGCAGTCTAAGCCTATAGCAGCGTAACTACGGGATAGCTCAGGAAACTAATCATTGATGTACACAAATTCAAACTCTGAGTCTCCAAACTGATGTTGTTCAAAGATCTTTTTTTATGAACAGGTAAGATAATAACTGTTCAGAACATTTCCACACAACCCTAATTGTAAATATCTAAAACCATCCCTTTAAGAAGGATCTGTCCTAAGAAAGCTTGATGACTACAGATGGTGTTTTACAGCAAACTTTACATTTGAACAATCCTGCACCTGGGCCTGCTGAGGCTGACTTCAAACTGTTGTGTAATGAGCCATGAGAGCTTTATTCAAGGACATATTTGATAGTTGGAGACACGGAGACAATTTTACCCGTTCGGTTTGCTCATTCACTCCGCAGCTTCTAGTCAGAAAGGCTGCTTCTTTAACCTTTAAAGCACCACTGCACTGTATGATGAATTATATGCTGAAGAGTAACTGAAAAGCCTCTCAAGACACTTGGTAACCTTCTTCTTGGACGTGATTAATGAGAGCCTCGATGAAAAGTGTAAAACATACTGTATGTTGTATTAAAAACACTGTCCAAGCACAGGAATGTGTTTAACCTCCAAAATCAGGCCAATGGCGGCACACTTCTTCCTGCGCAGGATCATAATGTCCACGGACTTCAAACAAAAATGTAGCTCCTGTGGTAAAATAACGCTTCCTCATTATAACTTGGTCATTTTAATATGCTGAGTGATCCTTTCAGCGCAAAAACGAACTGAAGCTAATTGAAATCAGCAGGTGAATGCTATCAGCGTTAAACCTGCTGCAGGGGGAGAGGAAGGAGATTGGATCTGATAAGTTATTGTCAGGCGGCCGCTTCGTCCATGTACCGATTAAAACTTTTAGGGTACTTAAAAATAAAGCGGTGTGAGAGCGTCTTAATTAGAATCCACCTTACAAAAACCCCACTGACACCCGTTCTTTGAATTCAAACCAAGAGGAACAAAGGAAAGAAAATGACTGTACTCTCTGCTGAGTGGTGCCAGTTTAATTGATTCAGACGACACAGATTCAGGGACATAAAACAGGCTTATCAGTGAGAACTAAGTCCAGTACATAACTTGTTTTTGAGTATGGCTCTTTATGAATGCGATTGAGGCCATAGGCGCTGCAACAATTATACGTGAAGGGGACATGTCCCCCTCACTTTACAAAAATACTCATTTGAACCTCCCTACATTTACCATGAACTATTAGTTCACCTAGCTCTGTTTCTATTTCTTCATGAATGAATCCATTAGGTTTCTCCTCCGTCACTTGGCTTGGCAGGGCGCTCATGTCTTCTGTTTTTTTTATTTTTTTTTTATGTCAACAGGGCAGTGGGGAAGGGGAGACACCTCTGTGTTGCATGCCGCTATCTTAGCGCTACGTTAGTGCTGGTAGTTGTCGAATTGCGGTAACGCCTTTCCCACATTGTAAACCTTGATCTCGCTTAAATCCAGAGTGCTCGATTACAATAACCTTTATGGCTGAGTGGTACCTTTACAGCTGGGCTGTATTTGCGCCATTGCGTATGGCCCCTGTTTAAAGGATTCAAGGTTTTTATTTGTCATACGCACCACATGTGGTACATGTGGTAGAATGAAATTGTGTACACAGGGTCCCAGTTACATCCATCAAAAGTATTAAATGTAAAAGAAAAACAGTAATAAGATCTAAGAAAAACGTTAACTAAAAATACGCTAAGCACTAGTAGTATAAAAACAATATGCTGAACAGCAGCACGAACATGAGTCTGTGTGAGCAGATGAGTATGAATGAACAAAGCAACATGAAACAAATCAGCAGCAACACGATGTGATATTTTTCACAGTGATTATCCTTGGTAGATATTAATGAGTCTAACAGCCTCAAGGTAGAAGCTGTTCCTCAGTCTATTGGTTCTAAACTTAATGCTCCTCAACCTCCTGCCTGAGGGGGAGCAGGGCAAAAAATGTGTGCTGGGTGAGTGGGGTCCTTCATGATGCAGGTGGCTCTCTTCCTGCATCTGGAGGTGTACATGTCTATGATGGTGGGGAGGCTGACTCCAACAGCGAAAGGCGAATATTGTACAAAACGCAATGTTTCACCTAGATTTTCTTAGATTCCACACATTTAAAGCAGGTTTCTTACCAAGTTTGAGGAAATTCAGCTGTGTTGTTTTAAAGACATTTCAACTTTATTGTACTTTAACAAACACCGCATCAGGATGGCACTACTTGTGTTTATAGGCAAAAAAAAAAAATTACCACTAGACGTTTTTACTTGTTTGACACTACTCATCTAAAAGATGTTTCTCTGTTTAACGATGGACAACTCATTTCAGAGGAGCTGACTCAACCTTGTTAGATCTAGTGGTATTTTGCTTTCATTATTTAATGTGCCTTTAAACACGTTGTACGGACGTGCATTTCAGTTTAAATTTCTTTAAAACCCCACAACTTATTATCCTCAAACTTGGTGAGAAACATCCTTTAGATGAGTACCGGTAGTGTTGAACACAAGTAAAAAAAAATCTAGTGGTAATGTTCGTTTTTTTTGTTGTTTTTTTTCATTTGCCTATAAGCGCAAGTAGTGTCGTCTGGACGCTGTGCGTTGAAGTGCAATAAAGTTGAAATGTCTTTAAAACAACACAACTGAATTTCCACAAACTTGTTGAGAAACATGCTTTAAATGATTGGAATTAAAGTAAGAAAATCTAGATGAAATGTTGCTTTTTTTGTACATTACAGTATTCACCTTTAAACAAGGGCCATACACAATGGCTCAAATACAGCCCAGCTGTAAAGGTTGTTGTAATCAAGCACTCTGGATTTGAGTGTGAGTAAGGTTTCTGAATCCGGGGAAGGCTTTATTGCAGTGGTGTCGGTGTTAGGATGCGTGAGAGAAGCGGATCATGCTGTATTCACACAAGGAGAGCTGTTGGTCAGGCTACATCTTGTTGCTCTCAGAAATAGTTACTGAATCAAGTGTTTACAAATGTAGGTAAACATAGTTGTTTAACAACCCATTAAAATACACCAGAGTGCAGAAAATGGCATCTACTTTATTCCAAAATTTCTGGGGGAGGACACCCAGACACCCCCACCAATGAGTCCCCTCAACATTGCAAATGATTCTGATACCAATAACTGAAGTACAAGATGTCACCATTACTGGAAGTTATTATTGTACATATAGATATTATAGTTCACTGCTATTCATATAAAGGCAAAACGAGGATTAACTGCAATTTTAGATGCCTACTGTGCTTGATGCCAGGTTGCTGGCAGGGCTTCTTCATGCAGATGCCAATATTGTCTGGAGTACAAAATGTATGCTCCTTGTAGGTTCATTTTATACACTTTATTACAGCCATTGATGAATTTGTTAGAAGTGCATTCACTGCAATGTGTCTGGGATTTTCTATGCAGTTGCAGACTTATGGTTCAATTGAAAAGCTACATTAAGAAAAGTTGGGGAGTGACATATTTAAAAGTTACTGTTTTTTTTTTAATATATCAATTCTAACTTGTAGAAAGCAGTTTTTTCAATGTTGTGTAATTAGTCTGTATATTATTGTTGCATGTATGTAAAGCTTCTATCTGGGTTTTCTTTTTCTAACTTTAATTAATAGACAAAATTGTGCAGAATTGCTGCAAATCTAATATTTTTTCTTAATGCATGTTTATATATATATTTTTTGCACAGAGAGAAATAAATTACTGTAAAGTTACATCTGCCTAATTTCTGTTTTAGTTACGTTAAACCTTCTTTGTGTGAAGCAGTTTATGTTTATACATATTGTATTGCTTTTAAAAATGCTTTTCTTCTTCTGCAGCTCTGTACTGCTCCACCCCAGACTCCCCCCTCCACGGCTCCATATCTTCCCAGACTGGTGGTCATGTCAACAGTGTGGTGCGGTGGGCTTGTGACCGTGGTTACCGCCTCATAGGCAATGTCACAGCAACCTGCCGTCGCACTCTTCTGGGATACCATGCCTGGGACTCGCCAGTGCCCGCCTGTCAAGGTCTGTGGAAATCTGTGTTTATACAGTATTTAAAGTTAAATTGTGTTAAAGTACATGCAATCTGGAGCATAAATTATGGTTAGGTGTGATTTATTTTTATGCTAAATGTTCAGTATATTCTTCATAAAGATTATCAAAGTTTGCATTTGCCCTTGTTGTCTGTATTTTGATCAATTTTGCTGTACTGCATTTCAGGGCTACAGTAGATTAAAAAGATGTTTTTCTTATAAAATTCAATCAGAAGTTGATATCACAGTTTGTATGGACTATAATGATATTAGATAAGGTGTGCTGCAGTAAGCTATCATTTTCACTTTGACTTGTTATCTAGAAAGTGGCAGTAATTTTAATTAAATAAAAAGTTTGCATGAAACTTCTTTGCTGACTTCATTTGTAGCTAATGGATAAAGCTGCCAAAATAGATGCATTTATCTCCAACAAAGCTGGCAAATGTTGTTCCTTCTTCCATTTCCAACCTCGTTACAAGTGGAAACAGCTTTTAGCAGCTGACATTGATAATCAGACGGAGGGTATATTGTGAATTGTCAAAGCTGTGTAAATTCACCATCTATTTAAAGCAGCGATGGTCAAAGTTCTGCAGCGTGGACATATTTTAGGAGAAACGGTTTGAAGTTGTGATCAAAGATCTCTTGTTTGCATATTTTTAGTTGGATCACTACATTGGTGAGCTCGTAAACAAATATGCATAATAATAAGTCTGTTTGCATCTCCGGAAATATTTATTGTACAAAACCTGCACTTCCTGACATTTTGTTTGCTTGTTGTCATCTCAGTCGGCATGCATCTCTCTCCTCTCCTTAGCTGTCTCATGCGGGCCACCGAAGGCTCCTATAAACGGCGGGGTGCTAACGGCTGACTACTCTGTGGGAACGAGAGTTTCCTATTTTTGTAACGATGGGTACAGGCTCTCCAGTAAAGAACTGACATCAGCCATCTGTCAGCCTGACGGAACATGGAGCAACCACAATAAAATCCCAAGATGCTCTGGTTGGTGACACACTTGGAGATTGGTGCAAAATATACACCATTATGCCATATTTAAACATTAAACATTATTAAAAAATGGGCATTTTTGTTTAAAATTTCACAAGCATTAACTTTAAGAAAAATGCATTAACTTGACAAATACATTAGAAAGGTATTTAGTCTGTCTTGATTTGAGGATGGGACTTTTTCCAGCTCTAGCAGATTTCATAAAGCTTTTCTTTTCTCTTCTCTCTCCCCTTTGGCTTTAGTTGTTGTATGCCCAAGCATCGGGTCCTTTTCTCTGGAGCATGGCCGATGGAGGATTGTCAATGGCTCTCACTATGAGTACAGAACTCGCATTGTGTTCACCTGCGACCCCGGATACTACAGATTAGGCCCTGCCCACATCCAGTGCTTAGCCAATGGCGTGTGGAGCTGGAAAAACGAGAGGCCACACTGTCAGAGTAAGTAGAAATATGGTGATGACAAAAGCAATAAAAATAGCAAACGAACCAGTGAGATATGCAATAGACAGGTGGAGGGCTAGACAAAATTTAAAATATTACTTTTAAAACCTATTGACGGTAGCCCCTCACTTATCGCAAGGGTTATATTCCAGACACCCCCGCGATAGTTGAAAATCTGCCAAGTAGGAACGCTATATTTTAGTATTTATATATATTTAAGGCTTTATAAACTCTTCCCACACTCTTGCAATGTTCTTAACAATGTTCTAAACTCTCTAAATGCTCTAAAAGAGCACAGCAAAGAGAGCAGACAGACTGATGCTTCAGTTACTGAGCCCCAGGGGTGGACTGGCCATCAGGAGCACCGGGAAATTTCTCGGTGGTCTGACCTGCTCAGTGCTTGCTATGGGGGACTAAAGGCTTTGTTTGGGTCAGCTCTGCTGTGACAGACAGCCTCTGGGTCTGTCTTATACCTGAGTGAGCTACACAAGCGTCATGAATTGTTTTTTAAAAATAATCAAGCGTGACCCAAACCAAGCCTTTAGTCCCCCTCAGCAATCACTGAGCGGGCCAGGCCACCAGGAAATGTACTGGTGCTCCCGATGGCCAGTCTCCCCTCAGCACAATGCTCTGGTTGGTCATCTTCCATCAATCAACCAATCGTGTGTTGTGTACATTCTTATGTCGAAGACTCACGAAAGAGTGAATATGCAACAGTCAAACCGCAAAGTATCGAGGGACTACTGTACCTTCTACTTGGTGCCATAGAGTGAGGTACTTCTATATGAATTAATGTAAAATCTGGTAAAGTTTATATTTATGCATTATTAAAGTTGTATGAACTTGACTGACAGGTGAATTTTATTTTTTTTTACCAGTCACCCATGGCCCCAATAATGCCAAATGCCAAATCTGAAATGTCAGAAGGGTTGTCTACAAACTGTTGACAATATGGTGGAAAAATACATGTTTTATGTCCAGTCAATGACAAAATGACAACCTCCACCCTGAGGCACTAAACCCCCGTGTCTCACCTGAGTGTGTGATTTCATGAGATGGAAATGGTGTACAAAAGCATGCTTTTTTTTTTTTTTTTTTTTTTTTTTTTTTTTTTTTTTTTTTTTTTTTACAGATGTTGCTAAATATTGTGTTAAAGGACACTTTTCTAAATCCAAATTTCTACAGCACCAAGGTGGCACTGTGGGGATTTAGTTCTTTCGTATATTCAAATAATATATATATATTTTTTAAGTTGAGTTTTGTGGAAACTTGTGAACATTTAATAACTTACCTGTAGTATTTTTAAATGACCTCAATTTGGAGAAAAGGACTTTAATTCTATCCAGATTGACAGGTCATCAGCCAGTTAGAGTGAGGCCAAGAGCAAGGTCAACTGGACTAGCTGTTAGTTTGGTAATCAGGTCATCATCAAACTTCATTTGTCCAAATTGAGGTCATTCAAAATGTCATGTATACATTTTAGGAAAAAAGAACTGTGAGTAAAAGCCTTGTGCTTCGTTCTGTGCAGATATTTGATTAAAAATGCAACATTAACCTTCACACAAACCAATCCACATCTGTGATACCTGGTTTGCGTACATTTTTAATTCTGCATAAAGCTGTGAGGACGTCCAGCAGAAAAGTCTGCAACAAAAAGGGACTGACAACAAGAGTGGATGGGGAAATTCACAAGTCTTTGTTGGATGCTTTACGTCTATGTTTTAACAACTGGACGGGCCTGAAACACTTTGATGAAAGATGCTTCAAAATGTGTTCAATGAGGGAGTGAGAATTGGAATTATAGCACAAATTAGATGTAAATCTGATCCAGTTGGGAAGCCAGAAATATAAAGCAGCTAATTTTATAGATATAAATCAATTAATAAAGAAAAAACTTCTGCAAACATTTTATCTGGTTGTAAGTTACAAACACAAAAGCAATGACAACTAACGAGAACATTCAATCCATATAATAAGTTGTATAATTTTAGCGTTATGGGTAATGAATGTGACATCTAAAGTTAATGTCTAAACGCAGCACACATATAAACTGAAGTGACATTTATTTGGTCTGCACAAAAAAAAAAAGACAAAAAGCTTGTCACTTTATATCCGCTGTCACATTTAAAGCATTTTTTTCTTCTTTTCGCTAATTTGCTGCCATCTAAAGATGACAATCATTACAAAAAGTGAAACTTTCATTCTTTTAGTCTATGTAACCTCAAATAGTTGACACTTTATTTGTTTTTCAAACTCTTCCTGGGATTCCTTGACATTTTGAATCACTGTTATTCCCCTCCCCCTAACGATTATTAAGCGGTTCGGATATTTACACGTATTTTCCTCACAAGTCATTTTGGGAGGAAGGGGGAGGGAGAAACCCAGCGGCAACAAATCTGCCTGCAGCTGCTCAGCCTGCCACGATCTGTGGCGTTGCTCACTGAAATGAACGAGGTCTAGCAGCTCCTCTAATTAACCCGGTGCTAAACTGGCTCACAGCTGATTTTTAAATTGCTTGTGTCCAACCATGTGTTACAGTTATCTCCTGCGGTGAGCTGCCTTCTCCTCCCAATGGGAAGAAGATTGGTACTCAGACAACATTTGGGGCTACAGCCATCTTTACCTGCGATGCGGGCTTCATGCTGGTGGGGTCAGCTGTCAGAGAGTGCCTGTCATCTGGGCTTTGGAGTGGAACGGAAACACGATGTTTAGGTGGGTAGGAACAGAAAAACTCATCTTTGTACCGTTTTGCATAATACACTGTGGATTTTTATACTATATCTGCTGTTTTTACACTTAAATTGAAGGATCAGGATGCTTAAAGGATACCAGAACAAATACCTACACTGTAAAAAATGCACCACCATTTGACAAAGAGCAGGAAATATGTTTCATGTCAATCTAATGAGGACAGGTATCACAGGAAGGTCTATGCCCTGCACCTCATAGGTACCTTCACAGCTGCTCCTCTTCGACCTCTTCACCGCACAAGAAAACCCATATAGTGAGCTTCAGCTGTGCTCTAAATGAATTCAGATTTTATTTTTTTATATAAATCACACAGAAACTGTAACTTTCTTCTGTCAGCGTGGCAGCCAGAGGTAACATGTTATGACACCGAGCTGCCACTTCTTTATGAAGACTTGTAAGGCCTGCCAACATACTTCACAGGTGGGGAGAGATGTAGCTTATACATGAATATTTTAATAAAACATAAACTGAATTGACAATGAGTCATGATCTTGTCAAAAAATGCTATAAAAGGCATTGCTGTTCATTAATGTATTGGTTATTTTTTTTAGCTCTATATTGTCTTTTTTGTGCTTGTTTTATTTTTGAAAAGTCTTTTTGTGCAGTTATTGTCATTTTCAGTCCTAAAAGCAATTAAATCTGCGGTCTGCAACATGTTGCAAGGTTATTTAAATTTTCTGTTGGTGTTTATTGTCAGCACGATGTGGTCGTTTAATGTGAACAAGTTTATGGCTTGTTTACACCAGATTATAATCGGCAGCCACACGTTGCAGATTATTGCACTTCCTGCTTTCTCTCAATGAAGACGGACGCTTTTCCTCTCGCCCCCCCCCCCCCCCCCCGCTTCTGCTCTTGTCCTGTGACTCGTTTCCAGAGCCTCTCTTTGCATATCCTCCAAATTTTAAATTATGGATCTGATCAGCTGGTCTCGCAATGTAACTGATAAAATGTTCTCGACGAGAAGACACGGCGAAGGAGAGCCCTCATGCCCTGAAGGGACACTCGCAGCTGGATGCACTATGGATTCCTGGGGGCAGTGGAAGATGGTGTGTCCGTCCATATTGTCCATTGAGGATGTTGAAGATGCATACATAATTGGATTTATGATAACAGGATTTCTGCTTTTTGGAGTTGGTGGGTTTCTGGCATATCAACAAATTCGGAAGCTGTTTGTAACGATTCTGGAAATTGTGAGGTTGCCTGCCGTGAAGGAATGTGCCGTGCTTCGAACACTCGGACTCAGATGCTTTGTGAGCTAAGCCGTAAGCTGGATGCAATTTCTGAGAATCACAGGCCACTTGCGGCTCCTGGAACTCACTGGCGTGAAGGAATCGAACTTGGAGAAGGCTACAAGCATGGCTCGGCAGAGTGACCACAAAATTTGACTGTTTGGAGTCACCATTTGAGATGTATCAGCAGAATTATGAAGGCAGACAAAAAAAATCAAGCAGAGTCGGCATGCTATCTAAATCTGGCTTCCCCGCTTTGCCTTGAATAGGCCAACTATTTCAAATTTCTCCTAAAGGTTATGTGAACAAGAAGCTCTGTGGACCTGTATCAGAGCTGAGCCGGTTGATAGACACTGTGCCATCTCTCATCAGGACTATGGAACTCTCTGGCAGTGTCCATGGACAACTCACCGTCTTTGTCGGCCCCCTTATGTAGAAATGTATTATGATGTCATTAGTATGTTGCTGTTTTTGTTCAAGGGTTTTTTTTGCAACTTTCACACTGTGCCCTGCCCAGGACATAGTGCGAGATACTTTTTTTTTTTTTTTTTTTACCTCCCCTCCCCTTGTGTTTCTCTTTTGCTTATCTACTTTTGTCTGTCTGAATCAGGTCTCTCTTGTAAATGAGTCCTCAGGGCTCAATGGGAACTAACCTGTATAAATAAAGGTTGAATGAAAAGAAAAGTTCCAATGTTATTATGCAGGTATCTGCATCATATTCAAGAAATTAAAACTGTGTTCCTCCCACAATGTCATATGACAAAGTTAATACAAAGCAACCTTTTTTCTTGTTTAGTTCTACTTTCCTGACTGTGTTTAAATCGTTAGCTTTTGCTGACATCAGGGGTGCAGTGAAGGTTTTATCTACTGTAAACAACAAAATCAATACTCAATCCAAAAATCTCTGTGAGCAGAAAATACACACTCCCTTTTGACTTTGTGAAATGGCTTTTAAAGCGTCTTGTGTTAGCACTGTGCATCAATCAGACCTTTGTGAATGAATCTGTTCGGGGAGTAAAGAGAACCCTGAATGCTGTTTGCTGAGCTTTTACCGAGTTGAGCTCGTTAAGAGTACAAATACGATATGTCTTCATTTGGAAATTGAAGATGTTGTCAGAAAGTTAAAGCATAACTGAGTCATGATTTAGTTTGTAACAGAAACTTTTGTTTGCTGACAAAATTAAATGTTTACTCAAAAGAAATGCTGATATTTCATTTTACATGTTTGCTCAAAGTCCTTTATATATGTACATATTAAATTTAGTTTCATGGTGGACATGTATGTTTTAAAAATTCAAGATTTAACACTTTAGTAGCACTTACAATAAGACTATCTTTAAAGTAGTTGGTGTTAACGCTAAAAGAAATGTGCTTATGACCCACTCTTATGCATTTATGTGACTAAATCAAGTGCCAACTGGGAAATTATCTAGGAAAATGTGATATTTTGTATTTTGTTCAACTTAGTTTATTTCCATTGTAATGAAATTATTTATCCATAGTTATTCATTTATTTATTATTATTAAGGTTTTCCAGGCATTGAAAATCGAGCTCATGATCAAGTCATTACATCTTTTTTTTGTAAAACACTGCAACTACCTATTAATGGTTTATAAAGTGTTTACAACTTAAATTTTACCCATAATGTAATTGTTTAATAATGCTTTATGTAGGCTGTCTTATTTTATGCTGGTACCCAGACCTTACTGTATTGCACATGGAGTACAATTCATAATTTTTTTACTTAAATTCTTCTTTCAAGTCAAAGCAGTTACATTTAGCAAATTAAAAAAATGAATTCCGTTTTCTATTCATGAGATTGAATAAAAAAGCAAAGGTACTGAATTCATTACATTTTCATGACTGCCAAAGTAGTCACAGCTGTTTTTGAAACAAAAATTATTGCATAATTGTGGAACAGCAAGCTTTTTTCTGTCTTGTATTTTCAAAACAAAGATCTCACTTGTAAATGAGTCTTTGAGGCTCAGTGTGAATGATCTGTACAAATAAAGGTTGAATTAAAAAAATGAAGTAAAACCATGAAAATTAAAAGCCACAGTAGAATGCAAAATGTTTAACTGTTTGAAAGTAAGGCATGGCATGGTAAAGTATGCTCTTCTTCTACTTATTTAACTTTCGATCATGGTGCACCACAAGGCTCAGTCTTAGGACACCCTCTCTTTACAGTCTCTATAAGAATGTAGGTCAGGTCATTCCTGACACATCCTATTTAACAGTCAATAATGGTGTACTACAAGGCTCAGTTTTAGAACCCACTCTTTTTACAATCTACATAAGTAGTGTAGGTCAGATCATTCCTGATGCATCCTGAGGTAAGGGAGTCCCTGCTGCTTCAGAGCAAAATGGCTATAGACAGAATTAGTATTCTGAACTTTTTGTGTTTCCTTTTCAGCTGGTCATTGTGGAATCCCAGAAGGCATTGTGAATGGTCAAGTGATTGGGGAGAACTTTGGGTATCGAGACACAGTTGTGTATCAGTGTCTGCCTGGCTATCGCCTCATAGGCTCATCTGTTCGGATCTGTCTTCAAGACAACCAGTGGTCCGGACAGCTGCCCGTCTGCATACGTAAGAGCATCTCACAAACTCACATTTATTCTTTACTGCCTTGAACTTTCATTTACTTCTTACCCATGTGAGAAAACCTACTGCACTGCCTCCTGTATACATGACAACCTGTGGGTTAGCTTGTGGCCGATGTTTCAAACAATACAAGCATTTACATGCTAGCTTAATACTTATTACACAGGAAATAAAATATACAAAATAATGTATACTGAAATAAACCCAATATATCTGTGTAAATTTGTAGATCTCTGACTGCAGCAGATGTTTTACTATACATTTCTGAAGAAAAATAACCATCTCTCGTTATCTGAAGAAGATTGTGACCCAATCTGTTGTATGTTTTCGATACAAAGGCAGTTTGCAAGCACAGTTTGATCAAGAGCTCCATTATTTGTTTAAATTTTGATAATTTTGTTTCCTTCTGGTGTTAGTCAATATGAAGCAACTTAGAAATACTATTGGAAGCATACCAATGATAAACATGTCATGTTAAGTGTGATACACCGTGTCTGTCCGCTGTTTCAGCAAAATTGACTGAATGACAAAGGAAAATAGTGACTGTGGGATAAGTTTTCCGAGTCTTCAAGTCCATCATTAAAACTCTGTAATGTAGCAATGTTGTGATGAAATCCAATCTTTCTTTTTGCTTTGAAGCTTAGAGTTTCCGTCAATAACAAACGAGAGCAGTTCAAATTGAAGTTTAACTGCCTTGAAAATGGAATGACAACACAATGAAGCTTTTTTTAAAAAGCTGGATGAGGCAAAATTAGTCAAATATAGACAACTAAATCACAGTTTGGCCTTGGATATGATGTGATCCAGCACACCATATTAAAAAAAAAAAAAACATCTTGGCTGTAGTTTAGAGAAGGCTAAATTTAGAGAAACTTCACTGTAAGTATCCATATAAATTTTTGTGGTTGTTGTTTGTTTGATGTTTTTTTTGTACATTAAAGTGGAATCCTTTATTTGCTTAAACAAATCTTACAAACTCCAAACTGTGAACTTAAATTTAAAATCTTATACTTACAAGTTTCAAAGCAGTGTTGTTGCTGCTGTACAACAGTTTGACTTTCTGACAGAATGACAACTAAAACTAATACTAAGCATAGCACAGTAAAAAATAAAAGTACTACAATTTTATAATTTGTTATTGAAACGTTTCAAATACTTTAAATAATTTTATAGTGAAATACAGAATGAAAGAGTGTGTGTGCGCTGATTTGTGCTTGCATACATATCTAATTAAATTATGATACTAAAGAAAATTGTCCAAAATATAAACATTTTGTTGGTTTACCACCATTGTAAACCTGACAATCTTTTAGAAGTCACCACATTTTCTTAATTAAAAAATCTATAAAATAAATTACATTTTTGAATTAAATTAAATTATTGCTCTAATGTATAAATAACGGAATATTGGTTCCTCTTCTCTATTCTTCACCTTTGAAAGTAGAGTTCAAAGTTTTTGACAAGCTAACGTTAGCGAGTGAATCAACACTGTAATCTACATCATCGCAAATTTGCAGTAATTTTATTATTTCACAAAATGTATTTAAATCATTAAATTAAATGTGGACAATGAAAGTTAATTTGCTGGTTTTGTAAACACCAAGAAACTGACAAATTAATGTTGGCTACTTGATTAGCCTTTTTATCCATCTTAGCAGCAAGTCAACAAAATAATACTTCAATAGATTCACTTATGGCAACAACGAAAAAAGATTAACTGTGCTATTTGTACAAATATAAGTTAGTAATAGTAGATTTGATGTATGTATGTTTGTCTCCTTTTTATAAACATCAAGAACTTGACAAGTTAATGTGATGTCTGTGGAAAACTTGGTTTTACTGATAGAAAAGCTAATTCTCGTAGCTTCTTGTGAAAGCTGTAATATTTAAACAACTTTACCTTTAACAGAGTGGGTGGTGCTAATAGAGTAGTGAATTCTTAATTAGTGCATATTCTGTTACCAACGCAGCCATAATCATTTATGACTACTAGACAACCAACTTTATCTTTTTCTAAGAAGAATGAGTCGGATTTTTCTTTTCTTTGGTTTAATTTAACAGCTAACTGAAAGTTTACACCAGCAGAAAGTCTAAAGAGAAAATGTAAAAGTGTCTCAAATTACAAGAACATTGTGTGGGGAATGTTTGATTCTGAAACTTGGCCTATGCCACTGCCATCCTATTGCAAGGGTTCCCAACCTTCGTCCTTGAGGAACGCCATCCTGCATGTTTTAGTTGTTTCTCTGCTCTGACAGACCTGCTTTTAATAAATGGGTGATTAACAGGCTTTTGCAGAACTTGATGAAGTAATTAAATCACTGAATCAGGTGTGTTGGAGCAGGGAAACAACTAAAACATGCAGGATGGCATTCCTCAAGGACCAGGGCTAGGTACCATTGACCTATTGTATTTAAGATTTTGCAGGAGACCCTTAATGCTACTGACAACTATAATTTTATCCAGATGGCTGTGGAAAATAAAATTAAAATCACTCTTACTTTTCAAAATACTTAAATGATATGTATGCATAATTATCTTTAATATCTGCTAAAAACTAGGAGATTTAATACATATTCAATGACAGCAGTGGTGCTAAATTATTATATTTAAAATATGCACCAAAATCTTCACAGGAATATTTTTTGAATGGAAAATCCATACCAACACTATCTTGGCTACATTTGATGTGTAGTTTACATTTAAGGTCAAGGTTTCTTTATTGTCATTCCCATCTCATGTTGTACATGAGGTGGAACAAAATTGCGTATACAGGGTCCTAGTTATATCTAACAAAATTATAAGTTGTAAAAGAAAAACAGTAATAAGATCTAAGGTATGAACTAAGAAATACACTAAACTAAGAATACACTAAGAACCAATAATACAAAAACAATACGCCAAGCAATAGCAACACAAACATGAGTCTGTGTGAGCAGATGAGTACGAATGAATACATCAGCATGAAATATTAAGTATATTAATATTAATATAAGAAATTCCTCCTTTCATCGAAGTTTCAGCCGATGGTGTTCAGGGTCTGCAGATCCACACTAGGCTTCTCAAAAGGCCAAAGGGACAAATCTGTCATACTGGCCTGAGTGAGATTATAATCAGAGCTTGAGGACACAACAGAAGGCTCTGACATGTCCAAGCTACTGTGAAAATGTTCTAAAATTGGCCAGCTACTGTGAGTGTCATGAATGTTTTTTAGCCACACGCAGGGCACAGTTGAGGTGGTGATGAGGCCAATTACTGGCCTATCTCGCCCAAAGTGACAGCCCAGTTGTTGACTAAATTAAGACAATGTTAGGAAGACCGAGAAGGTGTGGTTAAATCTACACTAGAGTAGATGGGACTTCTTTTTAAAGACCTGAAAACAAAACGCATGTTCAAATATAAGGATTTCATAGCAGGCTTTTGAGAGAATGTATTTGTGTTTTTGGAGGCTATGCATCTGTGCCTCTGTGGCCAGGATGGTGTATGCATCGGTTGGCACATTTGGGGTGTGTCCTTATTCTGTGCAGTTTTTATTGAGGTTATTCATGCAGGAGTTATTGAGGGAAATCATTTTGCAGCCAAATTATACTGTAATTATGGAGATGAGAAGCTCTTGTTTTCAGACACAAACGCAGAATGATGATGAGACGATGAAATGTGTGACTGTAGCCACAGGGTATGCTGGCAGTGTCAGATGGCTGTGTATCCCCGGCATGTAAACAAACTTCTGATTCTTGCAGATCAACTTCCTTTGCTTCCTCGTCGTACCAACTTCAATTTATCAGCTGCTCTTCCCACCTTTTTACTCTTGCGCCCACTCCTCCTCTCCTCTTCCATGTTTTTCCACCCTGTGATTCTTTCTAGACTGTTTTTAGACCCTTCTCCTCCCCAATAAATTCCTAGTTTAACAGTATGAGTGGTGGATGGGGGGGGGGGGGTCTGGCAGTAGCTGTGGGATGCCCATTTGCACAAACATCACACATACACTTTAAAGTTCCTGTGAACGAAGTTAACAGGATGAATAATGATGACACACAATGACAAACAGAGGGCACTAAGTGCTAACAACAAATGTGGCAATTTCCAAAATAATGACCATAAATTGAAATCCCAGCTTTGTCCTCTAAATCATCTGTCAGGTCTTATGAATATTTATGAGTGACTGTAGAAAAGGCAGAATGGAAATATTTGGCAAAAATTTGTGCTTGTTGTGGTTTTTCAGCCAAAAAGCAGACATGATTGATGATATTTTACTGTGGATTAGATTCTAGACTTTGTGGCATAATAATAATAATAATAGTAATAATAAAAACAATAATAATAGTAATAATAATAGTAATAATGGTCTAACTCTACCTAATACCTTGATCAGAATAAAGTGAGTTGTGATATCTTAATAAAACTGCCTTAAAATAAATAATTTTTATTATTTATAAAAACATAGATTTATTCTATAAACTGAAGGCAGTAATTAGGACTACTGAATATAAAACAAATGTTCCCAAGGACATAGTAGAGTTTATAGTACAGTAGCCCCTCGTTTATGGCAGGGATTCATTTCTGGACACACCCCGCAATAAGTGAAATTCTGCAAAGTAAAGTTATATTTATTTTATATTAATATATATATATATATATATATATATATATATATAAAGGCTTTTAGATACCCTTCCCACACCCTTGCAATGTTCTGAACTTTTAAGCTTGCATCATTTTAACAGCATACATACTGTTTATGTATCTGCTACATTTTACCCACCAGCTCTGCAGAACACAGCAACCGCTCTCGTTCCGGTCTGATTCTGTTCCGTCTGACTCGATTTGTTTCTGCAGATGTAACCGACGGCAACAAAGCCCGCAATTAATGTTCTAAACTCTTAAACCTACTAATTTTAACAACATACTTATATGTAGCTACTAAATTTTACTTACTGGTACTAGCTCTGCAGAACAGCAACACGAGCTAGTAAAGAAAATATCTCGGTTCTGGTCCGACCCAGTTTGTGTCTGCAGACCTAACCTGTGGCGACAAAGCCCACAATCAATGTAGTCAACTCTTAAACCTACTAATTTTAACAACATACTTATATGTAGCTAATACATTTTACTTACAAGGGTGTCCACAGAGCTCTTGGGTTCACCGCTGAGTCTGGAGGTCCGGTTGTGGTCCGTTTCATTGCAGCTCTTGAGCACCAAAACGCATTTGTGTGGCGGGGTGGGGAGGCAGACCTTCTATTGGCTGGTGTCAGACCATAAGTGGTGGATTGAATCCAAGTCTGGATGAAAACAGTTCAGATGGGCTACGAAAACAGCTCCAGACCTTCAGCTCGTGTCTCTGCTTAGGAGTCCTAGTGGGCTGGCTACCAGCTCTCAAGATGCACCGATGGGTCTTGAGGTCTGGTTCTGATCCAATTCTGGTCCAGTTTGGTGGGTTCAGCGTGGCTTCTCTACATTCGTATAAAGGGAAACCACTATAAAATTGAGAAAAATCATTAGAAAAACTAAAATGCATTTCCACCAAAAGGTTTTGTCCAGAATGAAATTTGAGCTAGACTGTTTTGTTTAGCACATTACTAATTTATAATGTAAGAATGAATTTTAAAGTTGTTTGCTCAGGGAAGATCTATTTTCCCAAAATAAATTAAACGGCCTTAATCACCTTACTTTTGGTATCAAATTGGAGCAAATTTACAGTTAAAACTTTGTTTCTAATAAATGGGCTTGACACTATTTTAATATTTGCTTGTTTTAAATGAATTGGTTACTTTTAAGACAGCCAAACATATTTAACTTAAATATTTTCTTTAAAAAAAATACCCTACTGGAAGTGCAAATATGCACAGGGGTTCAGAGACATAGTCGAATGTGGTAAATGTTAAACTTGGTAAATGTGGTATTTGTGAATGGTATGGTATGGAAGTAAATGTGGTAAATGCTAATCTTGATTTGATTTTTGTAACAAATGTTATTAGAATTTTGTTTGAAAGTGAATTTATCTTGAATCTGTTTTTCCTTTAGCGATCAGCTGTGGTCATCCAGGAAGTCCCATTTATGGCCGTACGGTGGGAAATGGCTTCAACCTCAACGATGTTGTCAGCTTTGTTTGCAATCGAGGTTACGAAATGGAGGGGCCCGCACGTGCTCAGTGCCAGGCCAACCGCCAGTGGAGCCAACCGCCCCCAACGTGTAAAGGTGGGGAGAAAAGTTAAGTGTATTGACCCCTAACTTTATTTATCCCTGCTTTTTCACCTAACATCTCTCTTTATTTATCATTACCATCTTTTGTTGCAACAGACCTTAACCACCCACCTCCACCCCTTCCCAATTTACATTTCACCACATGTTCTTTTCAAACACACATTTTTCAATATTACATGATGCGCAGTTTAACCTTTGATTTGAAGGCAACTTCTGAGGCAGCACTGAATCCAAAATCCATTTTTCCAAGGGGAGAATAAAGTATATAGTATCAAATTGTATTCTGATGTATCAAATCAGTTTGTGCCATTTTTATTTGTTGAAGTTTAATGTGCACTTCTTACTCCACATCTTGATTTACCGTGTGTTTTCAACAGCACATAAATCCCTAGGCTTGTTAAAAAGGCATTCTCGTGAAACAGTGTTTGTTGTAGCTTGTACAAAAGTTGCTGTTCTTCACGGACCAAAATGCCAATAAAACGAGTGCAGTCTACATCAGAAAATGCAGCGTGATGATAAAAGGCCGTAACACTGCTGGGATCCTTGATTTAATATGGACCAATCTGCTTAACTACATCATCACTTAATGGCCTACATTTACCCTTTTGAATACCAGCTCCATTCAGCTCATTCTTCCTCACCACATACTTCTTATTACTCCCTTCATTATTGCTCGGAAATGCATTACAAGTGTGAGATGCTGGAAAAGAGGAGAGAGGGAAGAGAAATGACTCTCTCTGGTTTATGCCAAATAACACATGCATTCTTCCTGTGTGTCTTTCTACTTCTTGTGTGTGTCTTTGTGTCTCACTATGTGTAGTTGTCAATTGCTCCGATCCTGGAATCCCAGCCAACTCCATTCGGCAGAGTAAAATAGAGCATGGCAACTTTACATTTGGCACAGTGGTGTTCTACGACTGTAACCCAGGATATTACCTGTTTGGATCACCTGTACTGTCCTGCCAACCTACAGGACAGTGGGACAAACCACTTCCTGAATGTATAGGTTTGTAGATACATTATTTATACCATGCTTAATGTTTCAGCAGTGCCAAAAGTGTGTTGTCTCAGTTTTCTCCAATCTTATGCGTATTTTATTTAAATTTTTGTCTTTAGATCTTAAAAGTCTGACAGATCTGAGTCAAAATTACTTATCTTTCAATCACCTCTCTCTATTTTCTCCTATTTCACCCTCACATCTCTAGTTGTAGATTGTGGCCATCCAGGCACCCCCCCTAACGGTCTGCTGAGTGGAGATAAGTTTACATTTGGTTCGACAGTTCGATACTCCTGTCTGGGTGGGAGACAGCTGAAAGGAGAATCGTCCCGGACGTGTCAACTTAATGGCATGTGGAGCACCCCTATGCCCTTCTGCTCTGGTAAGTATTTTAACTCCTGTTGAATATACAGGACTCGATGTCCTCCCTATCGGGAGCACTGATAGATAGGCATTGCAGATGTGAGGCGAGACATCTAAAACACGTAGACTCGCCAAGGTAGAGAGCAGCTCATGCCTTTACTCCCTGCACTTTTTTTAAAGCCTTTGCACTCAGTCAGAAGGATAATGGGGGCACGAATGAACATGCAGAGGGAAGATTGGTGCATGAAAAGAGAATATATCTGTATCTGTCTGCAGAAAGGGCTCTAGAGCATAACCTCGCCTTACGCCCAGACTCGGTTCTAAATCGCACGTATTCTTCTTGTAATCAAATATCAGCAGCTTGTGAACTTTTGTTTGGCACTTTTTAAAAATATGTAAGGCTGTTATTTCTTGCTGCTTAGGGATACTCTGAGCTGATAGACAAACCTAGATAAAACCAGGCTCTGTCATTGTCCTGTAATTTGCTTCACACAGGCATATTTTCTTCCCACTGAACTTCTGTATATGCATAGCTCAACACTTATTAGTCTAGACTGTCTCGGCGGACAGGATTCGTTCTTACCTTCCATCATGTAAACAAACGTTTTAAGTTATATGGTACGCTTGTTGCCTAGCTGGAGGCATGATTATGACTCTTCAGACTGAAAGGCTCCCAGCTGCTGCTTATATAACAAGCATGGTGAGAACGCAATCCAGACGACTTGACTAAGCATACATTGTTATTTACAGCAATTTCCCAGGGGCTGCATGGGGGTGAGGAAGGGTAATAGTTTTGGAAGAAATGATTCATGGTTTCTACCTGGCAGGTCTCTACCAGAGGTCTGCAAAGATAAGAGTTCAACCCAGGATAGATGTTCTAGCTTTGTGATTCAGCAATGTGGGAGTTGATGAGCAAACTTATTTCTAATGCAGTGTTGTTTAGTCTTTCACAAAGAAACCTATTACTGTGTACCGGGAATATTTGCTAAAGAATCGCACGCTTGTGTTTTACCTGGTAGTCTATTTGAATGTTTAAAACACCTTGACCTTTTTTCCACCTTGGATGCTGAAATGTTGAAAACACTGGAAAACACAGGACACAGGTCTACACCAGGGTCAGAGAACTGGATGGGTGAAAAGGGCAAATTGATATGACATCAAAATGTGGTCAGACAAATATTCTACATGACAGTTCTGCAGCACAAAGTAAAGGCATGTCATCACTTCTTACTTTGTATGACCACTGCCCTTGACTTGGACTTCATCTAGTTCATGTCCATCCTGTCCAAAACTGGGAAAAAGTATCTCAGATTGAGACTTAATCTTGTTGTTTTCCAGTTTAGTCAAATGAAATGTCTGTAAGCTTGTTTGCACACTGCCAAAAGACAAAAGGCTGGTGTTTTTCCCTGTGTCTGTCTGTCTGTTGGCAAAATATCTCTAAAACCACTTGACACATTTTATTGAAAATTGCAAAACATACTGTACATATTGGATATACATCTACAGCTGATTAGCTTTTGGAGTAGTTTTGATTTTATAATGGCTGCCACTGCCAACTGACCTTAAAATAAATTAAAAGGTAACATGTAGAAGCTGATACTGGTCCCCAACAAGTATTTTGAGCACAGACAGATTCGCTCAAAATATTTATTTAAAACGTTAATACTTTAAAGTATTGAAGTCATTAGTGGGGTTTTTTTTGTTTGTTTTTTAGCAAAATATTTCAAGAATAGATTTTAAGGTAACTTTCAGAAAGTAATTTATGGATGTGCATCTACAACCGATTTAACATTGTGGGTCAATCAATTCAAGATGGTCACGACAGCTATTTAAAATTAGCCAAAACAAAATGACATATAACTTAGTCAGTTTTAACGATATTCAGTAAAAATTATTGTGAGAATAGCTGAGATTAAATCACAAAATACAGTATACTCTGAAACTGACATCTGATATCAAATGACATTGAGCATAATATTATATTCAAGGTTTGACAAAAAAAACTGCTACTACTCCATTATTTCACAAGATCATATCGTGTTAGTCTAATATCCTGATATGAAATTTAAAGAGCAATATGCATTCCATCTAGGAGTGCTAGGGCTTTGATTTCCATAGCATCGAAAATAGCCAAAGTGCTATACAGTTCAAAAGTAACTTGTCTTCTTCTTTCGGCTTTTCCCTCTACATGGGTCGTCACGAGTCATCCTCCTCCATCTCACTGTTCTCTGCATCCTCTGTCCTCACTCAAACTACCTCCATGTCCTCTCTAACTGCATCCATATATCTCCTCTGTGTCTCTTTCCTGGCAGCTGCATTTCTAACATATTTCTACCAAAATACCCACTGTCCCTCCTCTGGACATGCCCAAACCTTCTCATTCTGGTCTCTCTAACGTTATCTCCCAGTTGTTCAACCTGTGCTGTACCTCTGATGATCTCATTCCTAATCATATCCATCCTTGTCACCCCTAAGGAGAACCTCAACATCTTCATTTCTGCCACTTCCAGTTCTTTCTCCTGTCTTTTTGTCAAAGCCATTGTCTCCAGACCATACGACATATTGGTCTCACAACTGTCTTGTAAACTTTTCTTTTGACCTTTGCTGACACCCTTTTTGTCACAAAATACTGCTGGAACTTTTCTCCATCCTGCCTGGGCTCTCTTCTTCTCCTCTTTACTGCATGCCCCATTTTCCTGGACAGTGGACCCTAAGTACTTGAAGTCCTGCACCTTTGTGACCTCTGCTCCTTGTAGCCTCACTGTTCCACCAGCCTCCCTCTCATTCACACGCATGTACGCTGTCTTACTAGGGCTGACTTTCATTCCTCTTCTTTCAAGTGCATATCTCAACCTCTCTAAGTTCTCTTCCACCTGTTCCCTGTTCTCACCACAGATCCCATTGTCAGCCGCAAACATCATAGTCCACGAGGATTCCTGCCTGACCTCATCTGTTAGTCGGTCCATCACCAGAGCAAACAAGAAGGGGCTCAGAGCTGATCCTTGGTGCAATCCCACCATACAGTTCAGATGTAACTAATATAACTATTTATAATGCAGCTCATTTAACCCAGTTCTTGACAATACAGTTAAATTAAAATAAAATCCAATATATATTCAAATGTAACCACAAGTACACAAGTCCATTTTAATCCTATTTGTGATTTAGTATGATGTTGTCTATCTAAGAAAGCCTGTTAAATGTTTTATTTTACCTATGATATATGTGAGCTACCAGTAATTTATATAAATGGCATTTGTCCCTTAAAAGCCTGTACCAAGAGATTTGTGTGGCATAAATAAAGCTGGAAGTGCAGCCAAACTTATAAAAATCTCCAAGGTAGTCAGTGACATTTTAGCTGCATTACTGCTGCATTCCAGGTTTGTACCACCCACAACAATTGTGATTTACTTGAGGCAATGAAAACAAGAGAGTGAGGTTCTTTTTTTTTTTCTATAGTACTTGAATAATTATGATAGAGCAAATAGAGCAAGGCAATCCAAGTCTGGTTATGTAAAGCTAAATAAATTATAACGTGGTAATTACTGAACTTTAAAAGTGCTAAAAGGAGGATTTCATTACTGTTGGACAAAGCCAGGTTGTCTGCACTCCTATTTCTATAGTTTTTGCAGTAAATTAAACTAATCCACTACTGGATGTAGCTTGACCTTTAAAGGACAATGGAAATCAAATAAATGCATTTACCAAAATGTCGAACTTCTATTTTTATTTATGGTGACTACAAGAAAAATGACTGCAACTTGAAACAAGTTTTTTTTCTTTAAAAATAAAAAACAAAGAAGAACAATGGTCATAATACTGTGATTGTGCTCGAACCTTTCCATACTAAACCAGCCACTGTAAATATTGCTTGTGACTGTTGATTCAGTAATCTAAGAAAAACAGGATCGTGTTCAATAAATTTACTGATAATTGTGTTTTATCAAGACCTTTGTCCCCTGCCAATATGTAACTATATAATAATATGATAAATGTTTTTTATACAGTTAGAAAAATGATTGTTCTTGTTACATGCAATGTTTTTTTTTCTGAGCATAATGAAAATGATTCAGTGTAGTCACGTTTTTGTGTTTGTTTTATAACAGCTGAGGAACAAGTTAAATTTATGAGGTATTACAAAAGCTGTTATGTCATTATATGTTGTGTCTGTGCCATTTATAAGCTCTATTTAGCAGCCAGCCCAGAGAAAAAACACACTATAGTTCAAGCAAATCCAGTGAAGCATGTTTTTTTCTTTTAAATATTAATTAAATTAGTCACTTTTTTACATGCAATGTGCAATTTATGATCAGCAATAAACATAAAATGTGTTCAAAGTAAAAAAAAAAAGTGTCAAAACCTAAAGAAATGTATCAAAATGTGGAATCAATCATACGCACACATAACCTAAAGCAAATTCCATACCATTAACAAAATGGGCAGCCCAGATCAGAAGTGTTTGAGCAGCAATACATTAGTCTGGACACGCACATTTGTGTGAAAATGTGTTTTTGTGTATGGAAGTGTGTTTGTTCCCAGGAGCGTGCTTAGTTTGTCAGACAGGATTTTGCTGACCAAGCGCTTATGTTCTACAAGGGCAGAGTGAGGATCACACACACACATTCACACAAGCTGCTACACGTCAGCATGCGTGGACGTACACACATTTAAACATATGGCCCTTGTCATAAACATAATGTGTGAAGTCCACTACGGTTTGTAAGCAGCCATTTCACATGTGTACCATAAGAATGTAAATTACAATAAAAATGTCCACCATGTGTTCACAATACTGTCTCAACAACTTACTTACAGTAGATACGTGGTGAAAGGATGTTCTATTTTAGACATAACACACTTAATGAAGCATATTGTAGATATTTCATATCATATGCTTTGTAAAGAACAGTATGTATTGATTGTCCAAACCAGCAACAAATGTATTAGTTTTGTTTTTTTCATTTTGTTCCTCTTTCTGTAGGTGACATTGCCGGTACTTGTGGTGATCCCGGCATCCCCTCCCACAGTTCCAGAGAACAAACAGACTTCAGGATCCGTTCCAAGGTCTTCTTTGCCTGCACAGAAGGCTTTGAACTCATTGGATCTTCAGAAAGGATGTGCTTTCCCAATGGGACCTGGTCTGGCACGCAGCCCTTCTGCAAACGTATGACGATGCTGCTAACTGATCTCAGTCTATGCCCACCCAGCATTCGTTCACCCTTGTCTCATGTAAGAGTCATTTTGATGGAAGTCACTTTTTTTTCATTCTATCCCTGCTATTTTTTATCTGCAGCTGTCCAGTGTGGTAATCCTGGGACTCCAAGTAATGGCAGAGTGTTTCGTCTCGATGGAACAACGTTCTTTCATTCTGTCATCTACTCCTGCATGGACGGATACCTGCTCACTGGTACCACCACCCGTCAGTGTCAGGCCAACGGGACGTGGTCAGGAGTTCAACCCAACTGTTCCAGTAAGTTACCTGCTGGGACTTGGCTGCATTTAAAAACCCAGTTATAGCTAATTCAGCAACATATCATGTGCAGAGATTAAGTTTTTTAGAATTGGAATTGAACAGGAATTTAATTTTTAATACATTACAGTTTTAAACTGACCTTAAGTGCAAAAGCACAAGGGCAAAACGGTATAAGTGAAGCATGTGGGTCCAGTATTATTCTTAAATTTGCAATAACAAAATCAGTTTTGATAAACCCGCATACTTTTGTCTTTTCCCATCATGGTGCGTCAAGCCCTCTCCATGTATTTTAATATATTGGCCACTAGAAGTCTGTTAGAGTCAGCCTCCCCACCATAACAGACATCTACATCTCTAGATGCAGGAAATGGGCTACCTGCATCATGAAGGATCCCACTCACCCAGCACACACACTTTTTGCCCTGCTCCCCTCAGGAAGGAGGTTAAGGAGCATTAAGTGTAGAACCACCAGACTGAGGAACAGCTTCTACCCTGATGCTGTTAGACTCATGAATCTCTAACCAGGATAATCACTGTGAAAAATCACGTCATGATGCTGATATATTTTTTGTTGCTGTATTCATGCGTGCTCATCTGCTCACACAGGTTCGTGCTGCTGTTCGGCTCTAACTATTGTATAAATCAAGTGTGAACCAGTTGGAATCCTCCAATTCACTAAATATATTATTAGTGTGCAAAATGAGAATGCAAAACATTTAGAATAGTATGCCCTGCCTGCAGTCTAAATAGTAATATTTGCTGAGTGTCCCTTGATAATAGCAGGGATGGCAAGGTTTTTGTGATCTTGTTTCTAAAAGAGCCAGTGCCAAAAGTTTGGAACAAAGGAGTTTGCAAATGCTGTTTGTAATATGACTGATAAGTTAATAAAAACAGATTTTAAACTAAAGTTTGTGAAACCAGGTGCTGCTTTTAGTTACATCTACCATGCTTGCAGTTATTGAAGGATTCTTCAGAGCCTTTGCACCAACATGGCAAAGGCGCCCTCAGAACTATCGAGCAGCTTAAAGGGCTGACAGAAGGGATTATCCCCCAAAAGTCAGTCCAGCTCAGTGTAGAATGGCAACACCTTTGATAAAGCCCCTACCTTGTTTAAACTTAGCTCCTTACTTTACTTTTTGGTGACACTTTAGTTTGTTTATGAGCATAATACTTTGTTCATTCCAGTTTGAAGGCAGACCTAACAGCTTGGAGAGAAGCAGCGCTCAAGCATTATTAAGTCCGACATTTGATTGACTGTTGCACATGCAGGTTTAAAGAAAACTGTGGTAATCAGGCCAAAAGAAAAGGTGAAAGAAGAACACTGTATCTGATAAAGCTTTAATGCAAAAGTCTATGAGAGTGCTTAAAAGATTCTGAGATCTGTTTTATTCTTATCAGATAATTTCCTTCAATTACCTTTGTTTTCTTTCTTTCTTTTTTCGTAATGCATTAAATGTAATGTATGTATGTTGTGAGCCAAGCACATACCCCACAAAAAGTGGTTTACGGTATTAGCTATATCATTTGGACAACTTTTTTTTTTCTCCAATATTCCAAATCAAGATATTTAAAGCATTGAAAGGCCACATAGATAATTGGAAAATCCATTTTCTTTTAAGTAAGATAATTTGGAAGACATTTTCAGGCTTTTTCCTTGTAGCATAGCTAGCATGCTACAAAGTTAAGTCAGTTTCTTTTTGCTGACACATTTCGTCTTCCATCCAAAATACTTCATCAGTCTAAGGAACCTTCACATAGTGGGTCAACCAATTAGATGGTGCTCAGATGGTGTCTGGAGTCCGCCCTCTCCCCCGCTGACTTGTTTGAGACAGTCATGGCCAAAGTGGTTCAAAACATGGTTCATGCCCAAAAATCCAGATAGAAAAATCCAACAAAGTTAAGTCAGCGGTTTCTTTTTGTTGTAACGTTTCGTCTTTCCTCCAAAAGACTTCATCAGTCCAAGGAGCCACAACAGTCTCAGTCTTACAAAGTAAAAATAGCTCCTTCACATATTGCGACAACCAGTTTGATGGTGCTCAGATGGTTTCAGGAGTCCACCCTCTCCTTCGCCGACTTGTTAGAGGCAGTCATGGTTGGTTCAAAATATGGTTTTGAACTGGTTGACCCACTACGTGAAGGTGCAGCTTCTATTCAATTCAATTCAGTTTATTTATATAGCGCCAAGTCACAACAGAAGTCATCTCAGGGCACTGAACAGAAACATCCATAAGTTAACAGAAACATTCATATATAAAAATAATAATTTAACACTATTTATCTGAGCAGACTGCTTTGACTTTAACTCCGAAGTCTTTTGGATGAAAGACAAAACATTTCAAAAAAAGAAACTATACACAGGACCTGACTTCACTTTGTTAGTTTTTTTATACCTGGATTATTGAGCATGAATTAGGACATATCTAGCATGCTTGGAAAAAAAAAGTCTCCTTAATACTCTTTAGCAATATAAGACATACTTTCTGTAAACTGACTCTTGTGATAATATAAATGTTGGCGTAAAACGGCACCCAAAAAAAAAAAATGTATACATTAAATTTTTGGAGTCTTCAAGGCTCAGTCTAATTCTGGAAACACTTTTTAAAAAGTCTCCTGATGCATGCTTAATATTGCTCACTTAAAAAAAAAATAAAAAGAAGCTTTAGTGTATCTTAATCCATAAGTTTTCAATTTAATTGTCCAAGATGTGTAGTTTAGACTTCCTTAAGTTTCATTGATGAATGGAGGTTTTAATCAACTTGTTCAAAAAATTTGCTTTTCAGTACTGGGGGTTGGGTGGAGATTTTCCAAAGACAAATTTTGGCCCCCAGACCATATATTGCCCGAAACTAGGCTATAAGTTTTTGTAATTTTGTAAAAATCAACATCAGCCATTTAAAAACTCATATCAGTCAGCCTCTAATGTTTATGTAACCTAACGTATAATTTCACTTTGTTACATCGTCAACTCATAAACCACCAAACTCCTTATATGGATATCTCTATAAGTTGTCTGTACCCACATTTTTGTGACACTACTTCATTCCCAGTTTTAAATTATTCTGCAACATTATAAGGCCAGAGTAATGAAATGAAACTCAAATATTTATGCTCCTGCGACTCACTTTATAGAGTGGCATGAATAACCTTGATCGTTGTTTACTTTAGCTAATTTGCTTTTTGAACCCGGTGGGAAAACTCCAAAGGGTAAATAACCATAAAATATAAAAGTCTCTTCCTATGTGATATATGACCAAAGCTACACTTGAGCAAGTGTTAATCAGTGCTGCATGTTTATGGCGCCACTGCAGGATTTACTTCCTCACATGTCTTTAAAGTTGAACGCAAAGCCCCAGGACTGGCACATGGCACTCTCACACTTGTTCTTACGGAAACTCACATTTCCACTTTGTGTCTGAATGTCAAATCTTAATGTTTTCCTAATTCCAGTGACATTTCTGACTGTAATGCACTATGTGGAGAAATAAGCCATGAAATATCCAGCAGGGCAGAATAAAAGGACAAAGAGATAAAACTGCTGAGAAGCAAAAATCTTGAATCAGGGATTCTTGGAAGTAAAAGGCAGTTTATAAGGCGTCTGACTTAAAGGAAGGAGCTGGCTTTTACAGTAGATTACACCACGACTATTAACAGCCATGACAGTATGTGGGGTGGGTTTTAAAGCAGTTAAACTGCCTATTAGACTATGAAGGACAGTGGCCTAAAAGTACCATCAGGGGAATCCTAATGCTCCTTAAAATAGTCCCAGGACAGCCTCAACAGTTTTTATTATCACTGTTGTTTCATTTATGAGAAGTAAAGCCCTCAAAGGAAAGAGAAATGTAATATAATAATTTAGCTCATTAATATAGCTCGCAAACAAAGACCTAGCAGAAGATCTACATTACTTTTAAATACACAATATTCAATCAATGCATATGCTGCTTAGTGTTTAACGTATACTGTATATTCTATCTTTTAGCGTACCGTTTGGCGCTTGTTTAGCATATACATTAGCCGTTTGTCATGGGAATCCGTTCCCTGAAGACCCACAACAAGTGGAAAAACTGTGAAATAGGAAGTGCAAGTAGTAAGTAGTAATTTTATAT